TTTTTTCTCAAAACTTTTTTGTTGTTGTTTTATTTTACTTTTCTATCAAAAAATAAATGCATTGTTGGTTAAGGGCTGTAAGTAAGCATTTCACGGTAATGTCTACACCTGTTGTATTTGGCGCATGTGGCAAATAAAATTCGATTTGATTTGATTTGATATGTTTGGACTATGACAGTTTACAATCTAAGGTAATGCCAAGTAATTTAGTCTCCTCAACTTGTTCAACAGCCACACCATTCATTACCAGATTCAGCTGAGGTCTAGAACTTAGAGAATGATTTGTACTAAATACAATTCTCTTAGTTTTAGAGATGTTCAGGACCAGTTTATTACTGGCCACCCATTCCAAAACAGACTGCAACTCTTTGTTAAGGGTTTCAGTCACTTCATTAGCTGTGGTTGCTGATGGGGTTGAGGTCAGGTCTCTGTGCAGGCCAGTCAAGTTCTTCCACACCGATTTCGACAAAAAACCATTTCTGTATGGACCTCGCTTTGTGTACAGGGGCAAACTGTTGCCACAAAGTTGGAAGCACAGAATCGTCTAGAATGTCATTGTCTGCTGTAGAGTTAATATTTCCCTTCACTCAAACTAAGGGGCCTAGCCCGAACCATGAAAAACAGCCACAGACCATTATTCCTCCTCCACCAAACTTTACAGTTGGCACTATACATTGGGGTAGGTAGCGTTCTCCTGGCATCCGCCAAACCCAGATTCGTCCGTCAGATTGCCAGATGGTGAAGCGTGATTCATCACTCCAGAGAATGCTTTTCCACTGCTACAGTCCAATGGCGGCGAGCTTTACACCACTCCAGCCGACGCTTGGCATTGCCCATGGTGATCTTAGGCTTTTGTGCGGCTGCTCGGCCATGGAAACCCATTTCATGAAGCTCCCGACGAACAGATCTTGTGCTGATGTTGCTTCCAGAGGCAGTTTGGAACTTGGTAGTAAGTGTTGCAACTGAGGACAGACGCGGGACGCGCTTCAGCACTCGGCGGTCCTGTTCTGTGAGCTTGTGTGGCCTACCACTTTGCGGCTGAGCCGTTGTTGATCCTAGACGTTTCCACTTCACAATAACAGCATTTACAGTTGACCAGGGCAGCTCTAGCGCGGCAGAAATATGACGAACGGACTTGTTGGAAAGGTGGCATCCTATGACGGTGCCACGTTGAAAGTCACTGAGCTTTTCAGTAAGGCCATTCTACTGCCAATGTTTGTCTATGGGGATTGCATGGCTGTGTGCTCAATTTTATACACCTGTCAGCAACGGATGTGGCTGAAATTGCCGAATCCACTAATTTGAAGAGGTGTCCACATACTTTTGTGTATATATAATGTACATTGACCCAACGTGGAATAGATGTTGACTTGACATCTGTGTCCAGTGGGAGGTCATGTGGTCCTCTAGCTCAGTTGGTAGAGCATGGTGCTTGCAACGGCAGTATTGTGGATTTGATTCCCGGGGCCACCTGTCCGTAAAATGTATGCAAGCATGACTGTAAGTCGCTTTGGATAAAAGCGTCTGCTAAATGGCATATAATATAATCATATAATGTTATGTTTCTGGAAAAACATGTATTTTCCACTTGACAGGTGATTATGTTGGTTCTGTCTGTCTCGGCACTGTGTGGTCAGAACAGAATGTACAGCAGAGAGTAATTCTGCTGACTGACGCTTCCTTCTAAAAGCTGAGGTTTGGTTTATGTCAGGACACTACCGTACAACTCTGTGTTTACAACAGTTTTGACCAATAAGCTCATCGCATGCTTTGGAAGGTTTTCTGAAGTTGACATTGTGAACTTCAACTCAGAGTCACAGATGAGCACAAAATGTATGGTCAATCTGAAGTCAGAGCTGTAGCTGAGTTGTAGACCTTTGGTTGTTAATTTATCAGTGCCCCTCTCAACTTATTGAAGTGTGACCCTCCAAGGCTGCATGGCTTTTGGCATTTATCTGGACGCTGGCTCTGTGCCCAGCTGTAGAGGGGCAAACTGTGTGACTGACTGCACAGGGAATTTGAGGTTTAATACCCAGAATAAGAGGTATAAATCTTCTCTGCACAAAAACAGAGGATTTTAGACTGATTGTTATGGCTTTCGTAGTTGCTTCAATACATACAAGTCCATGTAGTGGAGATCATGTTGCAAATCATGATGGAAAACAGTTGTGCATTAGAAAGATCTTATCTGTTAGGAGTGCTGCTGTTAGGGCCTTCAACCCTTATTAATAGACTGTGATTGCTTGAGCTAAACAAGCTTGGGCATATCTGCCATGGTGTCCATTATGGCACTAGGCATCAGCTGTTTCGTTTCAGTGCAATGATAGACCATTGGCTAGGGAATAACGTAACAGATACACACATCATTTCCACTGAGTTGAATGTTGATCAAATCTTCCTCATGCATTTGCTCTTCCCTCTGCATAGACTATTGACATACATCGAGTGTGTTAAACATTAGGAACACCTTCCAAATATTAAATTGCACCCCCTTTTGCCCTCAGAACAGCCTCAATTCGTGAGGGCATGGACAAGATATCGAAAGCATTTCTCAGGGATGCTGGCCCATGTTGACTCCAATGCTTCCCACAGTTGTGTCAAGTTGGCTGGATATCCTTTTAGTGGTGGACCGTTCTTGATACACACGGGAAACTGTTGAGCGTAAAAAACCCAGCAGCGTTGCAGTTCTTGACACACTCAAACCGGTGCACCTGGCACCTACTACCATACCCCGTTCAAAGGCACTTAAATATTTTGTCTTGCCCATTCACCCTCTGAATGGCACACATACACAATCCATGTCTCAGTTGTCTCAAGGCTTAAAAATCCTTATCTAACCTGTCTCCTCCCCTTCATCTACACTGTTGAAGTGGATTTAACAAGTGACATCAATAAGGGATCATAGCTTTCACCTGGATTCACCTGGTCAGTCTATGTCATGGAAAGAGCAGGTATTCTCAGTGTATTTGTGTATTTATCAATTTATCAATACACATACAGTATGTGTACATCAGTTTGTTATATTTCAAATGCATCTCAAAATGTGATAGGTGGGAGGCTTGAGATAGGATTGAAGTAGATAGCTGGACATGAATCTGCATGGCAGAGTTAATACATTTTTGGGTACTATGCCTTGATTTATGTTTGTCCCGAGCATTAATTAAGGCCTAGATTCAAATCGATCAAGCGTGAACTGGCGATAATCGACACCCACAAAGCTGATGTTTTGGAGGTGTAACTGTGTTTGAGCTGTGAAATCTGTGAGCAGCTACTCTTGATCATTGCCACACCCGTCCCACTCTCAGGCTATATAGAAATAATGACGCTCAAATTGAAAATCATTCAACGAAATAATGAGGATTTCTATCATCCTAATCGAGGTCCAGATTACATCTCACATTCCAGTGTTCCAACTTGTAAACAAGGTTGCATGGGATTTCTCTTATTGCGACTCATTGCAGCCAATGGCAATGTCCGCTTTAGATATAATGCCAGGAGCCGCTTGTGGATTTGACAGCTCTAATGCAGTCCCACCTCCGACACCACCAAAACAACCGCTATGCAGATATCGGCTAAAGCGGATCTGATTGAATAGAGCCCTAAGAAAGGTTGCCTTCAGTCAAGGTCATGGACGTCATTCATTTTAACACTAACAAATATGAATCAGACCTGAAGGACACATACTAGTCAGTATGGTAACACATCCATTCTATGTCCATCATCTAAGATATTATCAAATCCGTCTGCAGATAGAGAGAGCTCACTAATCTCCTTACAGTCAAGGGACAAGGCCTTGATTAATTTCCAGAAAAAGCATGTGCACACGCATGCACGCACACACACACACATGCAGAAACGCACACACACACACACGCACATACATGCACACATACACACACACTCTCCTGACCCTAACCCCCACCAATTGCCCTAGTTCTGATATTGACATAAGTGTCGCACAATCAATTACAAGGTTTGTGGATGACGTCTTGTATGCGCCTCACGAAGGTGACGGCAACAGATTACACACAAAGCCATTAACAAGTTCCAAATCAACAGGGACTTGGTCCCCTGCTCCCACAATGCACCTCTAATCCTTATTCAGTGGTTGATGATTTGTTTGGCTTCGAGGCTTAGGCCAATCTCAACCAATCTCAAACAGCCACGGTTTCCAAAACAACCGACCAAACCTCCCGATGACGCCTTCTCTGATGTCATCACTACAGACAACTCGCTCTGCTATTTCAACCTTTATTGTTGTGTCGTAAAATCTAAAACCCTAGAATAACATCCTGAAATGACCTTGTCTGTACTTAACTTACTTTGTGTTGGCATCAGTGGTGATATTGTATGAACTGACAATCACTGATATTCACCAGACAGAGCGAGAGAGACCACTGTATCCAGTCCCATTGTAGACAGATGTAGTCTTGTCCAGCTCACTGGGCCAGAAATTATGCAATTTGTATGGAATCATGAGCTGTTTCAGTGGTACCACACACTGAGCACATCGAAAAGTCATTAAAAATTGATGGCTGCCATGGGAGTTCTCAGAAGATGGCCCCACTCCTGCAGATGTGGGGATCAGAAACGTGCTGTGGGAGATGGTGGGGGAGGGAGAAAAGGAGCATGATGCTGGAGGAATGCACTGAACTGGCTATCACCTCTTTTCACTAGCCACTGTAGTTTATTGAAAAACCTAGTATAGCATCCATTTAGTGATAGTATGTATTGTAAAAGGAAATACGCCTGGTGAATTTAGTATGTGTCCACACAGTTAGAACACCTATTACAATTGTGTGCTTTAGGAATAAACAACATCCACATCCGTATCTGCATGTGTTTAGAAGAATCTTAAAAAGAGATATAAGCAATGTTTGTTTAGTGTAAGCTGACATCTAGATGCATCCCTGTGTCTTCTCTCCTCATAGAGAGCTCCTAAGCAGGCTTTGACCCCTGACCTTCAGGTGTGGAGGTGTACCATGTGTTCTCCCGCTCCGGGGGAGTGAACCCGTATCTGTGAGGAGTCACCCCGCGGAACCATGGGATCATCAACGCTGGGGAAGGCAGCCCCCCTCAACACGTTACTGGATGCCTGCATCCAGGCTTTTGGTGAGTGACCAATCACAGAAACACAGTGGGGAAGCTATCTCAGTGGTGTGTGATGTGATCCATAGAGATATAGATACTGTAGGTGTTCCTCTTCTATGGTGTGATCACTCTCCACAGATGACAATGGGGAGTTGCAGTCCAACCAGCTCCCGCGCACCCTGCTGCTGATGCACCGCTGGTATGTCACGTCCAAAGAGCTGGCTGGGAAGCTGCTCATGATATATCCTTCCATGTGGATTCACACCAGAACAACAAAGAACAATGGTCATATGCCATTTAGAGCCTTTCTGGTAGTGTTTAGATATGGCAGAGTATACAATATGGACGCTATGGAATGCTGTGTTCCCTGTCTGTGCCAAATGTATTTTCTGGGTGGTGAGACACTGACTAACCCTGACCGACTTTTCCTGAGTATACAAACTCTCTTTGTGTCATTTCTAGCAACAAATTATTATTGGTTGATCGCACAGCTCTGGGTTAATGCAGATTGTCCTATCAAAACATCAGGAAGAATTAGACATGTTCCTTAAGTGCAAATGCATTTGAGAGCAATGTTAGAGATAAAGAACCGCTTCAAAAGAAATGCAACTTGGATTGAATCTATACCTAATAGCGTTCCATTTCTCTATATGATTTCTATCAGTTAGCAGCGTTCTGGACGGTGTTTTCCTGGAGACTCCATACCACTAAGTGGTTTGATGTCGCGTGCATCTTCTTCAGACGAGCACTCAACAGGGGACGGCATATTCTCAGAACTCTTTGCTTCCATCATACATCATGACCCTGAGATATTACTCTGCCTGGCGTCAGGCCTCTCCACTGATGACCGATTAACCAATCTTTTCCCTGCTGTTGGTTGGAGTAATGGCTGTGGTGCTCCAGATGGAAGTTGCCCCTAACCGCAGGTCTAGAATCAGACTAGATAACCCAACCTCCAGTCCTGATCCTAAAAATATGTGACCCAGGACCAGTTTGTGGCAAATTCTATATTTTCCATGCAGTATGAAGCTGCTTCAGATGAGAGCCAGAGCAGACAGCTTCTTCCATGTGACAGAATACAAAGGCACTATTCTGCCCTTACTCTCACTTTTTGCTTTTGCTTTAACCCAACAAAATATACAGTACTTATCTTTGTCCTTCAGTACTTAATATACAGTACTTATGTATATTATGGACTCACCCTATTGTTTGTGAGTTAGCCCATGAGAATATTTCTTCAGTCTTCTTGAGAGAAGGAGAGACCAATTGATTATGTGTGTTTTTCACAGTCATGTATACATCCAATAAGCATCCATCGTGACCCTCCATGCTGGGAGAGTTCCAAAGTACCACAGTGAAGGCAGGGGTTTGTCTGCTCTACTGCATGCTTGTGACTGGATCCTGGGCAGAGAAACAGCTGTGTTCCTTTGAAGGTGATAGCAGACAGGCTACGCTGCAGACATGGCTCCCTGCCCATGGCCTCTCCAAAGCTACTTCTAAGATCTATATTTCAATGGTTCGAGGTAGGAAAACTTTGGCCCAGTAACAGTTATTTAGAGAATGCACACATGTAGTGGTGGAGAGGTTCATCACATGGCCTCACCTTCCATTGTTTTTACTTCCAGATACTGGGCATTCCTCTCTGAACACTTTAGTTATTCTTCATGAGAGGAGACCTTTTGTCCAACTAATAAATGTACAGCTGTTTCTCGTGAAATATATTTTATTGTTGTGTTTTTTGGGAGGGGTGGGGGGTTGTTGGAAATGGGGAATGGTGTCCATTTGTAATGGGGCTTCGGGCAATGTCTCCAAAAAGTGCTAAACTGTCCTTGACACAACCCCACGTACCGTGACTGCCAGGGAGATGAGTGCCAAAGAACGAGACTGAAGATCTGCTATTTAATGAGGTAAAAAAAACACTACTACATACCCAGAAGTTTCTGAGCTCTTTAGTATTGAAGATGTTTTTTATTGCTAGGCAACCCGCCCCCTCGGCTGAAAATGTTGTGCGGGTTGTGTGCTCCTCTCTCGGGGCTCTGTGACTGACTGGCTGGTACAATGAGGGATGCGATGATGTCATTGGAAGTGACAGCCAGTGGCTGTCCTCATGAGATGTGGGCCACTGCCAGCCATCTGAAGTGGAGATATTGTTTGGGGGAAAGCATTCTATGACTAAGGAGTCTTGTGATCCATTACTTACCCAGAAAAGTCCTCAGGCAATCTGTAACAGCATACTCAGACCCTCATTTCACTGGTAAACCCCTTTAAAGCAATTCTCCACCAATGTCTGCCAATCCATTACATCTGTCCTACTATTCTGTGTGCAACCTTGATATGAAATTCAAAGACTAAGTAAATCATCTGAATTTAATGTTAACTACTGTAACGAGGGGCCAGTCTAAAGTTCATGCTATTTTGCAGTTAATTTTAATCTGAAGTGGTAATAACACAATGGCCATTCACTTGTTAAAGGAGCATAATGCTATTGGTTCTCTGTATTCATTTGTTGTTTCCAGATTAAGAAAACATGATTTGTTGGGTTGGTAAAAATCTAGGCCATGTTTATGACTATGTTTGCTGGACTTGCCGATCTCGCCATATCACACTACAAATCACTGCGCAAGGAGCCCCCAGCAGTCCTTGTGCAGAGTCAGTGTGTGCCTTTGCCCTCTGAGACTATGATATCATTGTGAATCATTCATTTATAACAGGCACTACTGCTTGGGGCTACACACTATGATGTTCAGCCATAATGTACACATGCAAACAAACAGTCAACATTTTATATATGTTAAATCAGCCATTCTGCTGTGCTGTGTGTTCTCAGGTACTGGATTACGGTGTTCCCTGCAGAGTTTAATCTGGACCTGGGCCTTATCCACCTCACTGAGGAGTTCAGAGATGTGGCGGCTCAGCTGGGCTGTGAGGAACACTTCAAACTCATTGACATCTCCACCATGTGAGGGACTACCCAAGGACGGGCGGACACACACACACACACACACACACACACACACACACACACACACACACACACACACACACACACACACACACACACACACACACACACACACAGTTTCAACAGATTGTATGTATTTCTTTCTAGTCCATCATATGACTGGATGAGAAAGCTGACCCAGAGGAAGAAGCAAGCCAAGAAGGGCAAAGCCTCACTCCTCTTTGACCACCTAGAGCCCATGGAGCTGGCTGAACACCTCACGTTCCTGGAGTACAAGTCCATCAGGAGGATATCAGTGAGTGTCCCTGGTGGAAAAAGACACTTGCCCTGAGAACCGATCCACCTGCTGGGGTCCTTTCATCCCTATCTAACCCCTGTGTGTGACATTCCTCAAGACTCTTTCCAAGAGTACTTTTTCCACAGAACTCTTTTTAGCCCCTCTAGTACTGTTACTAAGTACAAGAACAAAGCTTTGGCTGTCAACTAACCTCGTCCCCAGGCTTATTGCGCACCACCACAGAGTATGTTCTTAGATACGTTTGCTCTACATTTCAGTTAGTTTGATTTGCTGGGTAGTTTACTTGTAAATTCACCAGCAATGTAAGGCACAGTATATGCCAATGACGTCTTTGTAATCTACTCAGCCGACTGTACATGCCATGTACACTAACTCTCCCTTTCTCCAACCCCCAAACCCAGTTCACAGACTACCAAAGCTATGTAATGCACGGATGTCTGGTGGACAACCCAACGCTGGAGCGCTCCATCGCCCTGTTTAACGGAGTGTCCCAGTGGGTTCAGCTCATGGTGCTCAGTAAGCTGACACCACAACACCGCGCTGAGGTCATCACCAAATACATTAACGTGGCCCAGGTAGGAAGAGAGGAAGAGAGCACTTCCTAGTTGTAGGTTTGATGGTAACACTTTACATTACAGTGCCCTTATTACTTTGTAATTATTTCTGTGTACCAAGTATTGTTACTTACCCCGTATTTAGGGTTAGGGTTAGGGCAACGGTTGAATTGGGAATAAAGATGCAGGGAGCATAAAGAGTGTATGTGGAAGACGTGTCCATTATGTATAAGCACAGCATTGTCTTACGTCAGGTGGTGTCACTCTTACGCGACACTCGTCCCTCAACCGAGATTCATGCTCATGCATTTCCCTGTTGAACTGCCCAAGAGGCCTGTCATGACGCAGTGTGATTTACTACAGCCTCCTCAAAATGAAACGACCAACTAAATGATAACAATCATTTAAATAAATAAAACTATCTGTGGAGTCGTATAGGACAGTGCCATAAGAGGGCCCTAAAGGGTTCAAATTGGACATTTGTTAAAGTCTGCTCCTTCATATTACCACAGCGTTTATCCGTGAGTGGGTGGGGTTCTTCCCTCTCGATCTCTCTCTCGCTCTTTTTCTATCCCTGTCTCCCTCTCTCTCGCTCTCTCTGACAGCTGGGGCGTTGCTGGTTCACGCTTATTCACTCACCCCACCTCTCCACTTACATTCTATATTCCATAACTTCTCACAATTTCATTTGTCTGATGAGCTACAACCTGCCCACTCTGACACAAGCAACTGTAAAGGAGGTTGGGGCAATTTTTTGAGGCATACATTTTCATTAAAAGTACGATACTGTAACTCTTGACATAAATAGGGGGTTTCTTTTGCCTCCATGTGCAGAACCTCTCTCATTATAAGTACATGAACATCCTGAAGGAGAAGGAACAACAGAGGAAGCTAGAGGGACTCATGGTTCAATATGAAACATGTACCGTATATTAATCAGACAGTTAGCTGAGCCTGACTTGCATTAAATCATCTGTATCAATGGAGCTGGAACATTGTCAATTAGATCACAAACACCCTCTGCTCATTAAAAGCTACTGCTGCCCACACATGCCTTTCTTTTCTATTATAGAAAGGATTTCTCTATATGCTTTCCTCATGTATCCTTATCAGCAATTTAAGTCTAGTCTTACAGCTTATGGTGAGAAATTGTATTTCTTAATGCTGTTTAACAGGCTGTGTATCATAACGTTTTTCAACATTAATCCACAAGAGCTTTCACAAGATTCATTACATAAGTAACCTTAGAACTCAAATGCACCCAGTATTTTTGAAAGTTATGATATGATGGCACATTGTAGTCGAACTACTTTTGATCTATCCCCTTACTCTTTGTGAGAAACGAGAGAGATCAGTGCAGGAGGAATCGTTGCGCTATCTGACGTAAGACAATGTAAGAACAGGGCATCCCTCTAGCAATAACACTGTCTCATCTCGATTAATGCGATTCTCCATGTCTAATTGCTGGGGGGGTGACATTAAGCATCATGCATGCTATTGGGCCTCAATCTCATCAGATACCAGGGGTTTCTCCCTCCATTATCATCTACCAGGAATTAGATAAAGGAATTATTCAGAAGACTAATGACTAGCACTCATGCTCATGTCTGCTTCCGCTGTTTGTGCAGGCAATCTCTCAGCTAATGCAGAAGCTGTTCAACTCAAGAGGGCTCATTGTTTTTAGTTTTTTACAGGCAAAGCTTCTCGCATTTTTGAAATAAGATGTTAAAACACGTTCCCTTGACGTTATTGACTGCATAAGCTCAATGTAAAGAGAGCTTAATTGATGTTGGTTTATGTTGCTTTAGATACTGTATTGGAATAAAGTTGTTTTAGGTATGTTCATTTGTTTTTATTGTAATTTGTATTTCTCTTCCTCATTCTCTCTCTCTCTATCTCTTCCCTCCCTCCATCTCACTCTACCTCCCCTCTCTCTCTCTCTCTTCCACTTTGTTCCATGCCACTCTGTCCTTCAGAAACTCCTCCAACTGCAGAACTTTAATACGCTGATGGCTGTGGTGGGAGGTCTGAGTCACAGCTCCATCTCTCGTCTGAAGGAGACCCACTCTCATCTGGCTCCTGAGGTCACCAAGGTCAGCACGCACGCCTGCCTCTGCTCTGTCACAGCCTCACTAATATCATCTGATGTGATTCTACATTTTCATTTACTTTAGATCATGGTCATATTCATTTAGAATCTTCTAAGGATCAATTTAGATCAATTCATCAACTGCCATGTAGTGATGGTTTCAGAAAGCACACCACGCAGAATTGATATTGTCCTAATTTCCTGGCATTTGATGTTACATTTGATACCGATCTGTATCATATCGATTGCTGTTATGTCACTCTCTCTGTATCTTTCTGGTGCTGTATCTAATATCGGTAACACTTTACTTGACACACAGCATCATAACATGCTATGACACGGTCATAACCATGTCAAAAAAGTCCCGTGTAGCTCAGTTGGTAGAGCATGGCGTTTACAACGCCAGGGTTGTGGGTTCGTTTCCCACGGGGGGCCAGTATGAAAAAAACAAAAAAACATGTATGTAAAAAAACATGTATGCATTTAGCATCTGCTAAATGACTAAAATATTTTACATTTATAAAATGTCATAACAGCTGACATAACTTGTCATAACCTGTTATAATATGGTCATAACACTTTTATGACACATATATTTACACCTGTTGTGATATATATTGCGTTATTTTATGGCTGGTTATGACGCCTACATATAAGTGTCAAAACCCACAAAACCTACCACACAAGGTAAAACATTCCATAACACCATAGCCTAATGTCAACATTATACTTATGTTGTATATATATTTTTTTATTGACCATATGAAATTATCATTGTAATTGCGCACACATTGATATCAGACATGCACCTACCCCAATGCTCTGTTGCTGATAACTGGGATGAATGCAGGAGCAGATTTCAGGAGCAGGACAAGACACCCTCTTTTTGACTGATGACTGACATAAGGGCATGTACGTGATAGGCCTATCTGGCTTACAGTATATGATTCTGATGGTCATAATGCTTCTTGAGTGTCATAAAGTGTATTTCCTACAAGTTATTTAAGATATGAGGAAAAAAACATGACTTTAAAGAATTCATTACAACAACAACAAAGGATTTAAGAAACAAACTTTCAAATGAAAGGAAACTTCTTGGCAGGGAAAAAACGAGTTTCACACTCTTATGTAGGTGTCATAACCAGCCATAAAATAATCATAACGTGTTATGACACTGGGTGTCAAGTAAAGTGTTACCCTAATATCTATGCTGTCCACCACTTCCTGACATCTTACCGCTCCCATCAGATCTGGAATGAGATGACGGAGCTGGTCTCCTCCAATGGGAACTACTGTGCTTACCGCAAGGCGTTCACAGATTCCGAAGGCTTCAAGGTCCCCATCCTGGGAGTCCACCTGAAGGACCTGATCGCCGTGCACGTGGTCTTCTCTGACTGGGTGGACGACAACAAGGTGAACATCGTTAAGATGCAGCAGCTCTACCTCACCTTCAACGAGCTTGTGTCCCTTCAGAGTGCTGCAGCCCAGGTGGAACCCAACATGGACCTCATCTACCTGCTCACCGTGAGTGTCCCGCCCTAAAAGGTCCCCCGTCAACAGGAAATGGACTTGTTTATCGTTCTATCACTGAATTTGTCATTTCAGTGGGATCATAGAAAAGAGTAACATGATTATAAATGTTTGTTATTGCAGAAAGGCTGAATCTGTTTTAATGTTTAATCGTAAACAATTTCCTCCAGCTCTCTCTAGACCTTTACTACACTGAAGATGAGATATATGAGCTATCCTTGCTAAGGGAACCACGGAACCCAAAGTCTTTGGTAAGTCTCCTTGTTGTGGTTTATAGGCTGCATTGTTGGCGCTATAGTTATTAGAAAAATGAAATGTATAAAAATATAAATACTACTGTATACCTGAGGGTTCCTATCTTAACTCTCCATCTTTTCCCTCTCCACAGCCTACCTCTCCGACAACCCCCAACAAGCCAATGGCCCCTCTGGACTGGGCTTCAGGTGTGACAACCAAACCTGACCCCAATGTGGTGAACAAGCACATCAGGAAGGTGGTGGATGTAAGTTGCTTCCATTACAGTAACTGATATGTGTCTTCTCTTGAATAAAGTCCAGGAGGACATAGCTTAGCTGTGGTCTGAACTCTTGAAAATTGTACTATCTACAGGATGGGTATCCCGTCCAAAAATATCTCATTCATTATTTCAAGAATCAGTCTGTGGCTATTTCTGTCACAATACCAAATATTTGAGTAGGTATATAAACCAACAACTACTAAAATATGACTCACAAAATTACTGGCACTTGTAAATCATTTCAAGTATTTTGTTCATGTCTTTTTCTGGGAAGTCTGTATTCAGGAACTACGACCATGACCATGATGGCTACATCTCTCAGGAGGACTTTGAGAGTATTGCTGCCAACTTTCCTTTCTTGGACTCCTTCTGTGTGTTGGACAAGGACCAGTGAGTGACCCTGTCTACCATTGAAATATGACAGCTTCAGAGGTGTCACAACTAAGCCACCTCATCCTCCTCTTCCATTTCCCGCTTTCTGTCACCAACAAACACCCTCTCACATTGCCTTTTTCTCACTCACACATACGTGCATGCGCACATACGCACGCACGTTCCACACATACACACATGCAAACACATTTTAACGTTTCCACACCTAACACATCTAATACATCTCACCTTATTTGCCTTTCACACATAAACCCCATTTCTCTCTATCTCCCTCTCTCACAGTCGTCTGATTCTTGTGCCTGTTTAATATTTGCCTTTAAAGCAGCTACGAGCATCCAAGATGCTATAAGACTACATCTGGAGGTATTCTGAAAATTTCACAGCGAGATACAGTAACTGGCCATCAACAACCATTATTCACCACACAAAGCTACAGTATAAATGAGGTCATTGGTAATGTTAAACATCCTCTCATAAATCTGCAGGAAAACCCTGTGAAGTCACAACAGAGTCATATCTGCTTTTAGCCTTGCCCTGCCTTGACTGGGAGTGGTGCTTTGTCGCCATGGTTTGAGGAGGGGGGAGGTGAAGGTTATGGCAGCCCGTGAAGGACAGACAGTGCCACACACAGTGCTCTGCCGTCGTGTCCTGGGCCGTTCATCTGTTCACTGGAACGCTTCAAATCACATTTCAGCTCGCCTGAGCAGCTCCATGACTCAGGAAATAGGTCTGGGAGGCTGAGCTCCTTAGGAGGGAGACTGGAGACATGTAGGGACTGGAGCTGCCACAAACCACCTGGGTGTCTAATCTAGAGCACTGTTGTAGATCTCTTCCTGTCTGGATAAAACAGAAATAAGGGATGGGATTTACTGTAATGTTTGCATAACAGGAGCTGTCATTCTCTCCTTCGTATTATCATTCTCTTATCTGTATTATTTCTTTGTCTTTCTCTCTCTGTCTACGTCTCTCTTTCTCTCTCCTCTACTACAGGGATGGTCTGATTAGTAAGGATGAGATGATGGCTTACTTCCTGAGGGCCAACCCCTTGCTCCAGTACAAAATGGGCCCTGGCTTTATCCACAACTTTACGGAGATGACGTATCTGAAGCCCACCTTCTGCGAGCACTGTGCTGGATTTGTATGTATACTGTGCACTTTGTAATACACATGAATATAAACAAACTGTTTATGCTCAGAGAGACAGTGCAGTTTTGGTTGGAAGAAAAGTATAGTGCTTTCTGGTTGTTTAGGTCAGCAACTCTGTGCTATATACTGCCATCAAATTAGTGCAAAACAGCTACAGAATCATACAGTGCTGAGAGAAGATGCCTATCTTTACTCTTTTAATGACCTTCTGAGACAGAGATGATTCACAGTGCATAGAGGGATTCAAAATACAGAGATGCAATATGTTGCCATGACTTCAGGATACATTGGTTTATTAAAGTTGATAAAAACAACACTGAATCGTGTCGACGGAACAATAATGCGATTTACATGGTAATGCCAACACTCACATAGTCAACAATGAAAGGATGCACGTCTTACATGAGAGAAGAGTTGTTGTTGCGTGTCAAAATATGTACACAAATTATGTTCTCGCTATCTTTCTATTTTTGTGTTGTTTTAGGCATCACTTAGTGAAAAGAAATGAGAATTTATACAGAGAAGTCCTACTATTCTCAAATGAGCATACACACACACACACACACACACACAGAGAGAGTTTACAGGAAGGGTGTTGTGAGAGATTGTATCCTGTTTATTACACAATGGTTTCCACTGAATATGCTTCCATCATTACAAATTCTAACATTCCTTTGTCTTTTTCCACCTCCCTCCGATTCCTGTCCCTCTGGACTTGTTGCTCTTAGCTCTGGGGAATAATCAAACAGGGATACAAGTGCAAAGGTAGGCTCTATGGACTGTATGTATCGACCTATTTTCTATTATTCGGAGAACTGCACATTTAAGACGTTTGGGATTTTTCATTATACATGCACTGTGAGGGCTAAGGCCTGACAGCACTGTTATATGTTCTGTTTCAGATTGCGGGGTGAACTGCCATAAGCAGTGCAGGGAGCTGTTGGTGCTGGCCTGTAGGAAGCTGCCGCGCTCCACCTCTCTGCGAAGTGTCTCCCCTGGAGGCCTGACCCACAGCTCTCTACCCAGCAGCCCCGCCATGCCCACCTGTAAAGGTACAGCAACACTTTAGTGATATACTGTAACCAACAGCGTTTCAACTATGATGATTGGTCAGTGTATTTCATTCCTGTCATACTGTCCTCCCTGCAGATGAGGACGAAGTGTTTGAGTTCCCCTCTGTGACACCTGGCGGTTCTGACCTGGAGCATAAGTCAATCACCCTGATGACGGGCTCGGCCCAGCGGATCTCTGTGCGTCTGCAGCGGGCCACCACCAGCCAGGCCACGCAGACAGAGCCTTTGTGGCCAGAGCACACCTGGGGGGCTGGGGACGGGGGCTCCCACACCTTCCCCAAGATGAGGTACCGACCACACAGGAAGGCCTCCAAAAGCAAAGGCTTTGCCCGCTGGGAGAACGAGGCCCAGGGGCAAGCCAGGGGTCGGCGGGATTCCCAGGAGCAGACGGACGGACCTGCAGAGGTGGTGCAGAATGGGATAACACCACACAGAGAGAAGGTAACTGCAGCTGAGATTTGTGTGTGTGTGTGTGTTCCGGGATTCATCCGATGGCATTGAGGAGTTTACCACATCAGTCACCGGCTTCATTAAAATGTATGACAACGTTGTCCCCACAGTGACCGTACGTACATATCCCATCCAGAAATCATGGATTACAGGCAACATCCGCACTCAGCTAAAGGCTAGAGCTGCCACTTTCAAGGAGCGGCACACTAATCTGGATGCTTAAAATAAATCCCACTACACCCTCCAACAAACCATCAAACAGGCAAAGCATCAATATAGAACTAAGATCTAATCCTAGTACACCGGATCTGATGCTCGTTGGATGTGGCAGGGCTTGCAAACTATCATGAACTACAAACTGAAACCCAGCCGCAAGCTGCCCAGTGACACGAGCCTACCAGAGGAGCTAAATGCCTTCTATGCTCGCTTCAAGGCAAGCAATACTGAACCATGCATGAGAGCACCAGCTGTTCTGGACGACTGTGTGATCACGCTCTCCGTAGCCGATGTGAGTAAGACCTTTAAACAGGTTAACATTCAGATTACTAGGAAGCATACTCAGGGCATGCGCTGACCAGCTGGCAAATGTCTTCACTGACCTTTTCAACCTCTCCCTGACCCAGTCTGTAATACCTACTTGTTTCAAGCAGACCACCAATAGTCCCTGTACCCAAGAACGCTGAGGTAACCTGTCTAAATGACTATCACCCCGTAGCACTTACATCTGTAGCCATGAAATGCTTTGAAAGGCTGGTCATGGCTCACATCAACACCATCATCCCTGGACCCACTCCAATTCGCATACTGCCTCAACAGATCCACAGATGACGCAATCTCTATTGCACTCCACACTGCTCTTTCCCACCTGGACAAAAGGAACACCTTTGTGAGAATGCTGTTCATTGACTACAGCTCAGCGTTCAACACCATAGTGCCCTCCAAGCTCATCACTAAGCTAAGGACCCTGGGACTAAACACCTCCCTCTGCAACTGGATCCTGGACTTCCTGACGGGCCGCCCCCAGGTGGTGAGGGTAGCCAACAACACATCCGCCATGCTGACCCTTAACACGGGGGCCCCTCAAGGGTGCGTGCTTATTCCCCTCCTGTACTCCCTGTTCACCTATGACTGCGTGGCCGCGCACGACTCCAACACTATCATTAAGTTTGCTGACGACACAACAGTGGTAGGCCTGATCACCGATGACAATGAGACAGCCTATCGGGAGGTCAGAGACCTGGCAGTGTGTTGCCAGAACAACAACTTCTCCCTCAACATCAACAAGACAAAGGAGCTGATCGTGGACTATAGGAAACGGAGGGCCCAGCATGCCCCCATTCACATCGACGGGGCTGTAGTGGAGCGGGTCGAGGGCTTACAAGTTTCTCGGTGTCCACATCACTAAGGATTTATCATGGTCCACACACACCAACAAAGTCATGAAGAAGACACGACAACACCTCTTCCCCCTCAGGAAGCTGAAAAGATTTGGTATGATCAGATCCTCAAAAAGTGCACCATTGAGAGCAATTTGACTGGCTGTGTCACCGCTTGGTATGGCAACTGCTTGGCATCCGACCACAAGGCCACTGTAGTGCGTACAGCCCAGTACATCACTGGGGCCGAGCTCCATGCCATCCAGGACCTCTATACCAGGCGGTGTCAGTGGAAGGCGCTAAAAATTGTCAAAGACTCCAGCCGCTCAAGTCATAAACTGTTCTCTCTGCTATCGCACGGCAAGCATTACCGATGCACCAAGTCTGGAACCAACAGGACCCTGAACAGCTTCTACCCCCAAGCCATAAGACTGCCAAATAGTTAGTTAAATAGTTAACCAAATAACTACCTGGACTATCTGCATCAACCCTTTTTGCACTAACTTTTTTGTCTCATCACATATGCTGCTGCTACTGTTTACTATCTGTCACTTTATTCCTAGTTACAGTATATGTACATATCTACCTCAATTACCACGTACCCCTGCACATGGACTCGGTACTGGTACCCCTTGTATATAGCCAAGTTATCGTTACTCATTGTGTATCTATTATTACTTGTATTATTACGTGTTTTACTTTTCTATTATTTCTCTATTTTCTTTCTCTCTGCATTGTTGGGAAGGGCCAGTAAGTAAGCATTTTACTGTTATTCCACACCTGTTGTTTCGAAGCATGTGACAAATAATATTTTATTTTATTTGTCTCTGTGTGTTGGAATGTGTGCATATGGGTGAGTACCTGTGTGAGTGTGCATGTGTGTATTGTTCTGTGTCTTTAGGGGATGGTTATGTTTTAATGCTCTGTGACACAACATACAGGTAACTGCCAAAATAAATTATTTTGGCAGTTACATGTGTCACATTGAATCTCCAATTATCACTCCTTCTCCCTCAAGTGGTTGTTATCCACATTCTGTTTGTTAATGGTGATCCTCTCTCATGCATGTTTGAAAACATAGTCTTTTTTACTTCTAACAATAGCCCAATAACAGCCTTACAGTTATCATTGTGTTATGTGTTTTCTTATCAAGCCCAAAATAGATAACCTGGCCAGGTCAGATTCAGGGACGCAGAACAATACAGTGAAAGCTATTTTCTTTGTCTTTGTTGTCAGAGTCTGTGCCCTTCACCTTTTACCTACGGCCTCACCACCACGGAACATTTTGTTATTAAAGCCTCACTTATTTTCATACCCATGGAAACAAGGGATTCAGTAACAGGGCAAAGAGGGGTTTTTCTCTTCTATTCACTGGGAGATGATCTAGATCAAGGGAGCACAGAGGCCACAGAGGCACTCAGATTGATGGTGGCTTGTGTCAAGAAGTTGATTTTCATCAGCTTAAGAAGGCTAAATAAGGACCATATAGTTTGGCTCAAAAGCAGAGCGTTGAAGATTTTATTGAGACAAAACCTGAGGCACTAATGGTATTATTGGGTCGTCTACCTTGGGAATATTTGGATCAACATGAAAGGCTGGAGGGTACTTGGAAACATGCTGGCTCTTCTATTTTTAGACGTTCAATCAAACGTATTTGCAACTGGTTTCCATCCTCAGAGCCTCAACAAAACTCACAAACAAATATAGTTTTTTTCCATTATGAGATGGACGTAATCCAAACTATTGGCCAATCTGCTGCCACTGTAGGCAATCTAATTGTAAAGAAAAACAAGTATACAACATTCTGAACATCTCTTTACAGTAGTTACTTCTTGTGAATGACTGGCAAGGGTGTTCCTGTCTTCTCTCCTCTATCGTGAGCTCTAAATATGTGACTACAGTACGTGTCTCTCCTCTTGCCCACAGGACAGCTGACTTGGCGAGGGCCGGACCCAGGGCCCCAGGAGGTCCTCGGCAGCCCGCATCATGAAGCTGTCCTTACTGGGGGAAGTACTTGGCTGCTTGAGGCCCCCATTTGGTGACCTGGAGTAGGACGGACCTCCTCTGATCTATACGGACATGTCTTCGGTGAACCACATGTGAATACTGATGCTGAATCCCAAACCAGTCTCTTCCCAGGTCCTTTCACCTTCCCTCACACCAAGCGAGTTGGTAGGGGTGAAGGGCTGGTTTGGGATTCCTCGTGAGAGTTCACATGCCATAAGATAGCGAAGGGGAGTGAGCGGATGTGGGTGGTGGAACTGAAAAAGCCCTTGTTTGGTAGGGTACAGACACTCCTGAATGCTCCCCAGCTCTACATACCCCGCCTTCCCACCCCATCAGTGTCATGGGAAAAGGATCCTGGACTACCTATAAGTGATTTAGGTTTGTTGGGGCTCAAATGGGGCTCACCAGTGTTTGACAGACTGATCGGGTATCCACCTGTGCCTGTATGAATGTCGGAGCATGTACATGCTTACTATTTACTGTGTGTGTGGTCTGTGGTGCACATACAGTATTTGTGATATCTACTGTTGAATTGCTGAAAAAACCATTAAGGGCATGTATAATACCATGAAATGAAGTTATTTGGGTCACGTGGTTAAGTTGCAATAACGTTTAATGAACGTTTTGAGAACATAGTGAACGTTTTATAATGGACTGGGAGAGGGATGCAAAGTGAGAATGCATTTGGAGATCGAGATGTAAAGCAATAGAAAGTTAAAGATGAAGTGAAAGTGATGAGGGGAAACAGAGGCAGGTACATTGTTTCTAAGGGTAAGTTTATTGTAACATGACTACTGATGATCGTTTAAGTGCCAGTTCTGTATCTTACTCTGGAAACCAATAAATGGTACTTGCTGTGTGAGCATGAGATAAAGAACAATATAACCACTGAGACTTGTTTTATAAATCAAGGAATAGTTGTGTCTTTTGGTTAGTCAAGAAAGCTTTATTGTTTTCAGCCTTATTATTTCAAAGGGATTTGAACTCAGAAGGAATCTAGTCTTTGTAATACTCAGGACAATAAGGTGAACTATGTATACTGTACATATATTTATGGGTTTAGGCATGTGATTTTTCATACAGTCATGCGACACTAGTGAGGCTGTTCAACGTTCAAGCTATTCTAGATATTTCAAAGCAATGCAGGCTGAATATGTCAATATGGGTCAATGTTGTTGTCTCACTGCACATCAATAGAGAAGCCAATAAGTGACCTTTGACCTTTTTTAATCTGCTGAAGGATCAAGCTTGTTGCCTTCAGGCAGGGGTAATGGAATCTCCACTAAGCCCTCAGTCAGTGGAGCACTGATTACTAACTTGCTTACAGTGGCACCAGATGTGAGCCCAGGTGCTCATTGTTCTGTGGTTGCCAGGCATCAGTTGAGTGAGCAGGTCAGTTCCTCCATCACCAAGGATACAACAGGTTACGTAAGAGGAGGGAGTTTATTTTCATCTGTAGAGAGACTGCTTGCAGGGACTCCACCCCCTTCAGGGTAGGGAGAAGTAGGTATGGGCAGGTGAGTTTGACATGGATCTCTGCAGAGACAATAGGGTCTGACCTTTTGTTCGACACAGTAGGACAGAGACAAGAACAGGACCGTAGGGTCAGAGCACTCCATGTTGGAGGAGGGGCATGGGGAAAAGATAGTGTATAGTAGCAAGAGATATCCAAAGCTTCATATACAAGAGGTAAGGGATGGCAATTATTCAATGCTTAGTGCGTCAGAGCAATATCACTCTCTTTGCTACTGGACTACTCATGGATAATGTGTTGTTCCTGCAAGGTCTCAAACCCACAATATCCTCATACCTGGCTGAAATCAAGGACAGCAAAGTGTTGTGATGCCACAGAGGTTATTTCTAAATGGCTGAGCTGCTTTTAGAGTATACTGGTCTGCTTGAGTTCTCATTGATCTTGGTGCCAGATCCTTTATACAGTAGCTCTATTGGGGTTGTTACGTGTCAGGTATTGAGAACATACAAGAGCATGTATAATAGTACACTAATGAAGACCAATAATCTGATCTTTGAAGGATCTGAAGTCCCTGCTTGTCTCACACTCACATACAGTAGTTACCACACTTGATATCAAATGACTTTATTGTTTCTTCTGAAAATGGTTCTGAGTTATCATGTTGATAAGGGATATTAAGGCAGTGGCAACTTCACTTCTGCAACGACATACTTTTTTTGTATTTGGGACACATTCCAACAAGACTTTATATTTTTTCAGTCAAATTATTGTCAACAATATTGATGATACTATTATCAACATTATTATCATTAACTGGTCTACTTGAGAAAAGTGTGTTGTTATCTCACTTGATTGTATGTTTGTCATCTATTTTATTTTAATTCTGTCTATTTGTATTGTTTATGGAGAGAATTCTGTAGCATTGTTTATTTTGTCATTGTGTGCCAATGTTATTTTATTATTTGTTGATGTGTGGCTAATTGATACACATTTTGATAATGTACAGTATTAAACAGATTTTTCAGCGCCTAGTTTAATCAGTTCAGATTTGTCAAATTGTTATTGAAGGCTACCACTGTAAACTACTATCTCGTTCAAATCTTTATAAGTGCATCCTGTAACCAATCATATGGCAATGTTTTTTACTCCTTGTGTATTTGTGAAACAGTGAAATGTACCATCTCTAGCCTGTTACCTGCTGAACCAGTAGACATATAGTATATTTATGTTTATGAGGGAAAAGTAAAGCCAATACATATTCTGAGGCCAAAAAACTCACTCCGGTCTAATATCAGATGTATTATTAGAGGGGCAAAATGCACCAACTAATCATAACCCGAATACTGGATTTTTGTATATAATATGAATGTATATTTACCCATAGAATCACAATTATTTTATTAAGGGACAAATCTCTTCAACTTGATAGGCTACATCCAAAAATATATACTGAACAAAAATATAAATGCAACATGTAAAGTGTTGGTCCCATGTTTCATGAGCTGAAATAAAAGATCCCAGACATTTACCATATGCACAAAAAGCTTATTTCTCTCAAATGTTTTGCACAAATTAGTTTATATTGCTGTTATTGAGCATTTCTCCTTTGCCAAGATAATACATCCACCTGACAGGTATGGCATATGAAGAAGCTGATTAAACTGCATTATTATTACACAGGTGCACCTTGTGCTGGGGACAATAAAAGGCCACTGTAAAATGTGCAGTTTGTCACAACACAATGCCACAGACGTCTCAAGTTGAGGCGTCTGCTGGCTGCAGGAATTCATTTCTCTACCATAAGCCGCCTCCAACATCATTTTAGAGAATTTGGCAGTATGTCCAACCCGCCTCACAACTGCAGACCACGTGTAACTACGCCAGCCCAGGACCTCCACATCCAGCTTCTTCACCTGCGGGATCAACTGAGACCAGCCACCTAGACAGCTGATTAAACTGTGGGTTTGCACAACCAAATAATTTCTGCACAAACTGCCAAAAACCGTCTCAGGAAAGCTCATCTGCGTGCTCGTCGTCCTCACCAGGGTCTTGACCTGAGTGCAGTATGGCGTCGCAAATGCTCACCTTTGATGGCCACTGGCACGCTGGAGAAGTGTGCTCTTCACGGCTAAATCCCGGTTTAAACTGTACCGGGCAGATGGCAGACATCGTGTGGATGAGCGGATTGTTGATGTCAACGCCCCATGGGGGAGGTGGGGTTATGGTATCGGCAGGCATAAACTACGGACAACGAACACAATTGCATTTTATCGATAGCAATTTGAATACACAGAGATACCGCCATCAGCTCATGTTTCAGCATGACAATACACGGCCCCATGTCGCAAGGATCTGCACACAATTCCTGGAAGCTGAAAATCTCCCAGTTCTTCCATGGCCTGCATTCTCACCAGACATGTCACCCATTGAGCATGTTTGGGATTTCTCTGGATCGACCTGTACAACAGCGTATTTCAGTTCCAATATCCAGCAACTTCGCACAGCCATTAAAGAGGAGTGGGACAACATTCCACTGGCCACAATCAACAACCTGATCAACTCTATGCGAAGGAGATGTGTCGCGCTGCATGAGGCAAATGGTGGTCACACCAGATACTGACTGGTTTTCTGATCCACGCCCCTACCTTTTTAAAAGGTATTTGTGACCAACAGATGCATATCTGTATTCCCAGTCATGTGAAATCCATAGATTAGGGCCTAGTGAATTTATTTCAATTGACTGATTTCCTTGTATGAACTGTAACTCAGTAAAATCTTTGAAATTGTTGCATTTATATTTTTGTTCAGTGTACTTATTACCTTGATCAAAATGCCTATCTTTATGTGTTAAAGTTATTACCTTACATTTACATTTTACATTTACACCTTGATGGAGGATTTTGGGGTTATGGTATTTCAAAAAAATATATATTGTGCATTTTTCTACAAAATAAAAATATAAGCGATAACATATTTATATAAGTTTTACATTAATCTTATGAACCATTCGCTGTTAGTACCCATTTCCCATATCTTTCCTATTTTACTATTATGTATAAATCTGCTCGATACTGTGTTGCAATACTGTTGTCCTGCTCCATCTTGTCGACCATGTGCAATGGGTTGATTTTCCAATTCTGTCTTCGCTCTCTCTGCTTAGTAGGCCTATATGTGTTGTATCTTGACTGGGGGGCACCATATCATAAAAATAAACAGCTGTTAACTGTTTACACTGTAAACCGCCAAATAAAAAAGATAATCCTGTTTATCAGACTCTTTGTACACAAGCACATTGTGGCATTGCCCACATTTCTATCTCATAAAAACATAAATATGTTTTTATCTTTTTAAGGAGAATGTAATACCAGTATTTGTGACTTATTGATCCAGTGGGAAGTAGAGAAGGAAGATGGAGTCCACAGCAGGATGTTTTCCACAGAGAGCAGGTACAGGTGCATTTATATCTAATTTATCTTGAAGATATGTCTCTTTAGTCTGCAGAGAATAAAGAGTAGGCAACATCTGGAAGAAAAAAATGCCTTTCATGTCCTATTTAGATATCTGAAATTACTGACATCTAAAGTGAAAGGTGAAACCTTTCTCTAAACTAGGAAATGTAAACATGGGAAATATGTTGTCAAACACCACCCCCTAGTGGTGGTCAAATGGCACAGACCATCTACAATTTATTGCCGGGTGAGGATGTTGGACGATGGTACTTCAAAAAAAGTAGCAATATTTCGAGAATAAAGTCCAAATTAAATTTCGTGAATAAAGTGGCAATATTTCGAGAATAAACTCGACATTTTATTTTGAGAATAAAGTCAAAATGTTGACAATAATGTCGCCGTTATATTTCAAGATGAAAGTATGGGATTTGGTTAACTGCATGGCTCCCGGCTTCCTGTTGCTGTGCGCGCCACCATTTAAATGCCTGCAGTTAGATGACCTGGTGAAACTATACTTAGGACATCCTTTCTCCTTTAGCACATAATAACCATATGATTATAAATAGGCCTATTAAGGACCTGGAAGAGGTTGTGCCACAGATTATTTTCAGAAGGAGGAACCACACGGATTTGGATGAGGTATGCTGGTTTGCGCATGCAGGAGTGGAGAGTTGGTCCTTGCTTAAAACCCTTGGTGCTTCATTGTTCATTCCTCCCGCAGCCGTTGGATAAGCGTATAATTTACTTTCACTTGCCCACTGTAGTGTACGATTTGCCTACAGGTTAGGCTACTCAATATAGTGGGCAGCTATAGTTTTATAATGGCTGCAAAATGGAGGTGTTGTTAATTTGGAGAGCAGCGTGACATGGAACATACACACGCATAGCCCCCGGTCTCCAGGATCCCAAGATAATTCGTTTTTATTGGGTGTGCTCACGTAGCCTACTAGCCTATAGTCGCCATAAGGGGGAAAACCTCTGTTAATAAAGCACCATGGACAAGGTCGTTAATAGTTTACATTATGCATAGATTTTTTGCAAGGTGTTCTGCTAAGCAGCAGAACGTTGTAACGAATTCGGAGGGCAGACTGACAGGGACTTAACTCCAGTTCTCTTCGCATTCAGTGACATTGCCAATAACGTTTTTTGTTTGTACTCATAACGCACCATGGCGGTCAGAAGTGTGTATGCCTATAGTCTGAAATTGCCAGGGAGAAACTTGGGGTGTGTGTTTGCGAGTTATTCGATCATTAGATTGATAAGCGTGAGTGCCCAGTGACGCCTGTTTGAATGAGTGTATTAGATTGATGGCCAGTTTGTTTCGCCCTTATTTTTTTATCGCCCACACACTCACCTGCATACATTTGACATTTTAGTCATTTAGCAGACGCTCTTATCCAGAGCGACTTACAGTTAGTGAGTGCATACATTTTCATACCACAGGAGGTTGGTGGCACCTTCATTGGGGAGGACTGGCTCGTGGTAATGGCTGGAGTGGAATAATGGAATGGTAACACATGGTTTCCATGTGTTTGATACCATTCCATCTGCTCTGTTCCGGCCATTGTTATGAGCCGTACTCCTCTCAGCAGCCTCCACTGGTGCTTACACACACAACACGCCCGTCGCTACCTATATATGTAACCACGGTTCCTCCTTCTGAAAATAATCTGTGGCACAACCTTTTCCAGGGCCTAATACTTATAATAATATGGTTATTATGTGCTAAAAGAGCAAGGATTTCCTTCTTACTAAATCCAATTCTCAAGTATTGTTTCACCAGGTCATTTTACTCAGGCATTTCAACGGTGGCGCGCACATCAATAGGGAGCTAGGGATACATGCATTTCACCAAATCCCCTATGTTAATCTTCAAAAAATAGCCTTGCTAATATTTCGCATTTATTCTCGACGTTACATTTGGTGTTTACTCTCGACCTGTTGACACTATTACCTCCATTTTATTTCGACTTTATTCTCGAGCACACGTCTAATACTTTCAAATTGAAATCCTACTCGGCGAGGCATTCTGCACAGGCATTGTATCGGTCAGCCCTATCACCAGTAAGAGGTTGAGTTAGGACCCAGCATGCCAACCCAGCAGAAGTGTTGTTCTTCAGTGATATTAGATTATTCTTGCGGTTTAATCAATTGAAGGTTCATCACAGAAATGGAGACGGATATTATTGACTCACTGGAAGATCTGGGGTAGGTTTAAACAATTTTTCGATGAGAATAGTCTTTATTTAGCCTATTTGATTTATGTTTTAACTAGCTTGCTCAGCTGGTTAATTTAGCTAACGTTAACGGTAGCTGATACGTTGACTGCCTGTCATCGGTCAACTGTCACAGCCAGAGACAGCTGAGTAGTAAACTAAGCTCTGCAGGGTCTTTCATACATTTTTGTGGCATCTAGCTGGCTATACGGCCTTATGACTTCCTTTTCATTATATTGTGAATGTAAAAGTGACCTATCCATTTTGGCTGAATCTACCTATCATGCCAACCGGTTGATGTTCATTCAGAGAGCAGGCACCGCCTCAGTGTTATGAATACACTGAAGCTGGAAACAAGATATGCCAGAAGGTCCCACTTATCTCATGACTGGTTGCTATTCACAGTAAAATCAGTTCAGTAGAGCTCGCCGGCTTGTAGTCGTAAAAACCGGAAATGAATTAGTTACCGCTGTTTCGTTCAGCCATTCCTATCGGGAAAATCAATGGGGAAAGAATGGGGTTTTGGGATAAACGCCGAAAGTAAGGTATGAGATTAACATAGGTTTAGTAGATCTTATACGTTTTGTTCTATGAGATAATATCAGTCTGTTAACATGACCTTTATGAATTATAAAGCATTTATGTGCTTTATGTGCTTTTTTACAATTACTTATGTGCTTCAAAATTAACAATGTGAGGTTAGCTGATGATGATCTCATAGAACAAAATGTATAAGATTTCATAAGCCTGTGTTTACCACAGATCTTATTTTTGGTATTTATCAAAAAAATATTAATTTCCCCATAGGCTTTGTCCAACGAACTATGACAGAGATAGTGCCTACAAAAAGACGCCATTACTTGTCAATTGAAGCAGTGCATTTCCATAGAAAAGGACCCATGAGCACCAACATGTGAAGCTCATATAAGCATATCAAATGGGGGGTCAAATGAAAGCTAAGAGTCTATATTTTTGGGAAATGAAGGCATAGATACATTTGTCAACCATTTTTAATCTGAAAAATTAGGCATAAGTAAAATACTTTGATTTCTTTTCTAAACAGATGGAAAGGGGGTCTTAGAAAACATCTACCAGAAAAAGTCTTAAAAGGTATCAGAAATACATAAAAACACAAAATTGTTGACGTAAAGACCCCTGCCAACTAATATCAACACTTATATTTAGTTTTGGAAAAATGTTTTACCATCTGTAAGTTTAAGAAATATTGTCTTGTGCCTTATAATTCCGTTACCAAAAACCCACATATCTTTAAGATATTTTCTAATTTCTCTCCCTCATGAGGAGGGAGGATAATGAAAGTTCACAGAAGTAACAAGTAATGGTAGACCTAACAATTAGTTATAGTGATTTTACTGATATCTATTTTAAGTGATTCAAACTCCTAATTCCATTACCAAATTGGTAACAGAATTACAAAAAATCTGTAACTGAATTACTGCAACTGAATTGGCTACAATTGGAAATCATAATAGTTACAAACCACAGTTGGGTCAACTGCTACTGTCCTCCCTTCCACTGACATACTGTTATGTTCAGCTCATAAGTTTTCTTTGTCTTTCTGTTGTCAGGTGCTCAAACCAAGAGTGTTAAAACAGTATGTCTGATCAACCTCTCCCTCTCTCTATCCCTTTCTCTCTCTCTCTCTCTGCCTCTCTCTCTCACCAGTTAATGTCACCTCTCCCAGCTCTTACTGACAGCTACCCATAAGCCCCCTCTCGTTCGATTTACTGTAACCAACATCCTCACCCACTGACCGACCGACACCGGACATACATGGACGTTGACAAGTAGTTTAAATTGGGTCAGTCCACCCTGGCCTTGATTTTAACATCCGCACTAGACCAAATCTGAACCTATCATAGACGTATGTTTCACAAGTTTGGATAGCCCAGTACAGTACAGTGAGTAAAGCACAGTAGAGTATAGTACAATACAGTACAGTCCAATACAGTACAGTAAAGAAAAGTAGAGTACAGTATATTGTACTGTACTGAACTATACTCTACTGAACTGTACTCTTGTACTGTGTTCTGCTCTGTAACGCTGTGATGTCCAAACTTGTGAAACATGAGGAGAATGACATTCATATCCATAATTATACATTTATGTGTAGTACAGATCAGGGAACCATGATGTAATTCCGTTACCGGGTGTAAATCCACTTCACATACTGTAGTTCAATAACAAAAATGGATTTCTTCAAACTCAAGGTGCCATGTCATAGCCGACACCCCATTCTTTCTGCAGACATCTTTGAATCTTAATTCGGAGCAGATATTTAAGAGTTTTGGGGAAACGTGGTTGCATAAAAACCTGAGGTAGATTTTACTATTACCCTGTTACCAAAGTTTGCATTTATTTACACAATTCTTCCACTAAATTAGTTTTTGTACTATTTTCAGGGGAAATTGTTAAAAGTAGTCTTTGTGCATAGAGTTGTGTGGTTTGTTAAACTTTGAAATCAACAGTTTTTTGTTTGGCATACATTTTTTAAGTGAAAAAATGGAGTCAAAGAGTAATTCTGTAACCGTGGAATTGTCCAGCACGCACAGCTCCTTTTGTTAAGGACATTTTTGGACTTACAGTGAGGGAAAAAAGTATTTGATCCCCTGCTGATTTTGTACGTTTGCCCACTGAAATGATCAGTCTATAATTTTAGTGGTAGGTTTATTTGAACAGTGAGAGACAGAATAACATCCAGAAAAACGCATGTCAAAAATGTTATAAATTGATTTGCATTTTAATGAGGGAAATAAGTATTTGATCCCCTCTCAATCAGAAAGATTTCTGGCTCCCAGGTGTCTTTTATACAGGTAACGAGCTGAGATTAGGAGCACACTCTTAAAGGGAGTGCTCCTAATCTCAGTTTGTTACCTGTATAAAAGACACCTGTCCACAGAAGCAATCAATCAATCAGATTCCAAACTCTCCACCATGGCCAAGACCAAAGAGCTCTCCAAGGATGTCAGGGACAAGATTGTAGACCTACACAAGGCTGGAATGGACTACAAGACCATCGCCAAGCAGCTTGGTGAGAAGGTGACAACAGTTGGTGCGATTATTCGCAAATGGAAGAAACACAAAAGAACTGTCAATCTCTCTCGGCCTGGGGCTCCAAGCAAGATCTCACCTCGTGGAGTTGAAATAATCATGAGAACGGTGAGGAATCAACCCAGAACTACACGGGAGGATCTTGTCAATGATCTCAAGGCAGCTGGGACCATAGTCACCAAGAAAACAATTGGTAACACACTACGCCGTGAAGGACTGAAGTCCTGCAGCGCCCGCAAGGTCCCCCTGCTCAAGAAAGCACATATACAGGCCCTTCTGAAGTTTGCCTATGAACATCTGAATGATTCAGAGGAGAACTCGGTGAAAGTGTTGTGGTCAGATGAGACCAAAATCGAGACCAAAATCGAGCTCTTTGGCATCAACTCAACTCGCCGTGTTTGGAGGAGGAGGTATGGTGCCTATGACCCCAAGAACACCATCCCCATCGTCAAACATGGAGGTGGAAACATTATGCTTTGGGGGTGTTTTTCTGCTAAGGGGACAGGACAACTTCACTGCATCAAAGGGACGATGGACGGCGCCATGTACCGTCAAATCCTGGGTGAGAACCTCCTTCCCTCAGCCAGGGCATTGAAAATGGGTCGTGGATGGGTATTCCAGCATGACAATGACCCAAAACACACGGCCAAGGCAACAAAGGAGTGGCTCAAGAAGAAGGACATTAAGGTCCTGGAGTGGCCTAGCCAGTCTCCAGACCTTAATCCCATAGAAAATCTGTGGAGGGAGCTGAAGGTTCGAGCTGCCACGTCAGGCTCGAAACCTTAATGACTTGGAGAAGATCTGCAAAGAGGAGTGGGACAAAATCCCTCCTGAGATGTGTGCAAACCTGGTGGCCAACTACAAGAAACGTCTGACCTCTGTGATTGCCAACAAGGGTTTTGCCACCAAGTACTAAATCATGTTTTGCAGAGGGGTCAAATACTTATTTCCCTAATTAAAATGCAAATCAATTTACAACATTTTTGACATGCGTTTTTCTGGATTTTTTTGTTGTTATTCTGTCTCTCACTGTTCAAATAAACCTACCATTAAAATTATAGACTGATCATGTCTTTGTCAGTGGGCAAACATACAAAATCAGCAGGGGATCAAATACTTTTTTCCCTCACTGTATAAGTTAATAATAATATCTGATGGGGTACCACAGTTGAACTAAACTTATAAACGCCTCATGAGCTATCTTCTTCAAGAATCAATGGGTACATATTATGTACCCCATCAGAACCCAGAATATAAGCTTGTTTTACTCCAATGTTTCTAAACAAAGTAAATGTAAACAAACACTATATAGCCTCAAAGCATGGTTAAAACTATAATTTTGATATCAATTTTGTTATCATGGATGGTAAGTCCTTGCATCCATAGCTCTTTCTATGAATTTGAGTGGTTACATTTCTCGAGCTCTATCCCTCAGCTTTTTACAAATTTTTTTCAACTGTTGATTGCGGCTTTAATGACTAGCTAGATAAACTGGTAAGTATGGGTTTTTAGTGAAAGTCTTATGAGGTTATTACTGTCTTTGTTTTCTCAGGTACCAAGGCCCACTGTTGGAGGATGGAGCACTGGAGGCTGCAGTGAGCGGGGGAGCAGCAGCACCAGAGTTCACCAAGGTGTGTGCCTGGATCGTCTCAGAGCTCAAGCTCTACTGTCAGCTGGAGGAGAATGTCCATGCCACCAACTGTGAGTCACTTTTCATCTTAACTCATCTCAGTGTTTGTAAATTGAATAATAAAAGAAAAAGATAGTTCCCTGAGTTGTTCTTGCACCAACTCTCCATCTACCCCACCCAGGTCCCAGTGAGGCAGAGGGGTTCCAGCTGGAGATGAGTGGTCTTCTGTCTGAGCTGGCCTGTCCTTACAATGTCCTCACCACAGGAGATGTCACCCAGAGGCTCCTCAACAAGACAAACTGCCTACTGCTCATCAGTATGTGAACAGCATAAGTCAACCTTCTCTCTGTGTTGTCAGTTTCCCCATAATTTATAGAATTCATATTAATACAGTATGATGATTGCCGTTTGAATGATATGCTCTCTCTCTCAGCCTTTCTGATCTCGGAGCTGGAGGCCTCCAGGATGATCCTGGTCAACAAGCCTCAGAAGGCAGCCCAGGAGGCCGGGGGCAGTGTTGTCTTTATGGAGCTGAAGGGAATCTGTGTGTCCCTGGGCATGTCCAAACCCCCAGCCAACATCACCATGTTCCAGTTCTTCAGTGGGATCGAGAAGAAGGTCAGTCCATGTCACACCAGGCTATGGCAGAATGCTTTTTTATGTTATGATAGGTGTGTCTTTTTGTTGAATGCAGCTATACTTTAGCTAAGGTCTGGTTTTCTCAACATTAATATTCTCTCCTTTTTTCCTCAGCTGAAAGAAGCTCTAGCCAAAGTGCCATCAACTCATGTTGGGGGTCCTCTGATGAAGAAGGCACTTGGACCAGTTCACTTTGTAATACCCTTAAAAACAATAAAGCAAAATACATTTCCCACTTCAAACCAAAATATGTTACAACAACAAACATTCTTAAGCAGCGTACTATACTGTACTATACTATAGTTCACTGTACCCTGTAATTATATCTGCAACCCTGTACATGTGACTATTAAACTCTCTAATCTAATCTACATATGATCTATTTTACAGGAAAAAATCGAAGCCATCAATCAAGCACTTGTGAATGAGTATGAAGTCCGAAGGAAAATGTTGTTGAAACGTCTTGACGTGACAGTTCAGTCCTTTGGTTGGTCTGACAAAGCTAAGGTGAGACCTCTGTAACTGGTTGTGGTTGTAGTCTGTTATTCATTTACAGCATATTTGCAATCACAATGCATTTGTACTGTAAACAATTGAGTACTGTATGTAGAGACTGATGTATTTCTATTGTTACACAGAAACATGCTGAAAAGCTGGCCAATGTATACCCGCCTCTGCGTTCAACCCTCGCCACAAAGAGCAAAGTCTCGGTGGCTCACCTCTTTGCTGCACGAGAGGACCTCTCCAAGATTATGCGCACAAGTAGTGGCAGGATAAGGGAGAGGACTGCTTGTGCCATTAACAAGGTAGGGAGCAGATTTGTAATTCCGCACTTGCTAACTTTTAACGTTTAATCTCAATGCTACCTTGAGTGCTGCTGTCACATTCTGTTTTTTTATACTTAAAATCAAGAAAATATTTTAAAACTATTTAGGCTACTTCGGCTGTGCTGTCAGACAACACCCCTTGGCTTGTACACATTCTGTTGATTAACTATTGGCTTTCTTTTTTGTTGTGTCTTGTTGAGCAGGTTCTGATGGGACGCGTGCCAGACAGAGGTGGGCGACCCACTGAGATTGAGGCGCCCCCACCAGAGATGCCTTCCTGGCAGAAGAGGCAAGACGGTCCTCAGGGAGGTGGACACTACGGCGGGGGTGGACGAGGAGGCGTCAGGGGGGGCTACGACCAGCACTCTCAGGGGGGCCGAGGGGGTTACGAGCGAGGAGGAGGAGGGGGTTATGAAAGGGGCGGGAGGGGTGGAGGAGGGGGCGGCAGAGGGGGCAAGGTGCAGGGAGGCTGGTCGGACGGAGGAGGAGGAGGAGGTGGTGGTGGGGGGGGTGGTGGTTACCAGGGTCATTACCAGGAAGGAGGTGGCCACCAAGGGGGTGGGGGGAGAGGAGGTCACGGGGGTGGAAAATTTCAAGGGGGCTTTCAGGGCCCTGGTTACCCTGCAGCAGGGCATCAAGGGGGAGGAGGAGGGGGCGGAGGAGGAGGTGGTTACCAACACGACAACCAAAATCAAGAAGGCGGTCGCCACCAGGACAGGGGTGGCCGAGGGGGTCGCGGGGGTAGAGGAAGAGGTGATGGTAGGGGAAGAGGTCAGGGAGGAGGTTGGCGAGGGGGTCAGAATTTGAACCAAGGAGGACAGTTTGAACAGTTCTTCCAGCAGGGTGGCCAGCAGTACAATCAAGCAGGCTTTAGCCAGGGGAGCAAAAACTACACTAGTTGAAAAGAAAGTGCAGGCCACTGAAGCAGAGATCATGCAAGTCATGAAGTGAAAACGCCTTATTTTCTAAATGTGAATATGAATATAAAGCATGGTTATTATAATTTCTTCCCTAAACCGAATAAGAATGTGGAGAGTGACCATGTCTCCAACTGAAGAGAAAGTCCAGGTCATGCATGACATGAGAGCTCAAACAAACCAGACTTTTCCACAATCCCATGGCTATTACAAATGACTGTTCCCATGTGTTCTTTTGCATATGTGAGTGCTTTTGTGTTTATGCTGTGTTCCACTATCTTGCCACATGAAAGCTAAAGCCAATGGTGGCCATTGTAACACTAAATTATAAAGCCTTATCTTGAAGATTATTTGAAAGAGGAGTTGAATGTCATGTAACTACATATGATAAGCTGACAATTGTGGAAGTATTGTAGTCCATCCTTAATTAATTTAATTAATACTTGAAAAGAAACAAGCTTTATTTCTCCAGTGCTTTTTTTTTTGTAAGCTTTGGTTTACATTAGCTCATTGTAACTAGGAATGGGTTAAAAATAAGCTTGAGCCTCAAAAGTTTTTTGCTGTTGCAAATAGTTTTGACTGGTATCTCCTCTATTACTTATTTAAAAGACGTCACCTAATGATGCTTATAAACAGAAGTGTACATACTTGGATGTAAGAAAGACTACTTGGAAGTGTGAATGAATGAGAGGTGAGCAATAAAATCTAATTGATTTAACATGCCTGTCATCTTATTTGTTTATTTGGTCATACTTTCATCTTAATTGTGACCACCGGTATTTTGTACACAATTTGAAAACCAGTGTACCCAAATTAGCTCCACATATCAATTAATTATTGATCATAATGTAATGAAAGAGTTTAAAAACGTGCTGTAATGCTATTGCTAATTCTTGGTGCAGGGTGGGCTTTTATTTTCTGATCAGGTGGTTGTATTTTAGGGCCAGAGTGGGCTTTTATTTTGAAATGCAGAATACCGGATGTTGTGGACTTTACAATTTGAAGTTCTTCCGCTTTCATTCACCCGCCAGCTACTTCAAAGCAAGCAAGCAAGCGAACGAATGAGTTAATGTTTGTGTTGACATTTGGTCGTTTCCCTGATAAGTATTGATATCTAGTATTAATTTAATTGCCGTGATCGTTTGTCGGCTATAATGTTTCGTGGTTTTCTTAATCCCGGAGAATTTCCCCGGGGCCCTGCGCCGTTAGGCCACCCACCCCATGTACAGCCACCCGGTCCCAGCTACGGAGGGCCCTTTGGCCCGCCACCCGAAGTTCCACCGCATAGACACTTACCTCCTGGACCTTGTCATCCCTTCTTACCTCTTGGATCGGGAAGTGAATACCTCCACAGGCCCATGAGGGAGCATTATATCAATGTACGTAGCTAACGTTATGTGTCAGCTAATGTGCTTCACAACAAGTCCATAGCTAGTCGATTTATTCTTTAGTAGTTTGTTTCTTGATAAAATGTATTAATGCTTAAACTAGGATACTGGTAGACATGGTGCACACAGCCAAAACACCATAATGTTAATGATTAGTATGTTGTTTGTACCTCAATCAGACTCCACACTGCAGCAGTTACTCCATTGACCGCAGCACAGTGATCAGTCTGGGTAGTCAACAGATTCTCCCACCAGACACACGGCATCTTCAGATGCCACAGTGGCCCACCGACCCTTTGGAACCACGCCAAAGAGACATGAGGTTGGGGAAATGTCAAGGTTCAAGGATTTTGTGATGCATAGCCTAGTTCACAACCTCATTCAACTATGGCTGATTGCAATTAACAGGAATCTGAACCGTTTTCACTTGTATTTCAGTGAGAACTTGACGGCTGGTGAAGAATTCCTCAGATGCCTTGCAGCTAATAAGCCAGTCCCTGACTTCCTCAAAGGAGTCAACCTGTTGGACGCAGGGAAGGAGGTCAAAGCACCAGGTGTACCAGAAGACCGGGGTTATGAGAGGCAGAGACTCCGGAGCAAATCTCGCAGTCCAGCGAAGGAAAGCAGGGGCAGGAGCAAGAGCCGAGCAAAGTGCCAGGTAAGAAGCAAGAGCCGGCCAAGAAGCAAGAGCCGTCTGCGCAGCAGAAGTCGTACCCGAGGGAAAAGCCGGGCAAGAAGCAAAAGCCGACCGAGGAGCAGGAGTCGCAGTTGTGGAAAGAGCCAGGCCAGAAGCAAGAGCCAGGCCAGAAGCAAGAGCCAGGCCAGAAGCAAGAGCAAGGCTCGTAGTAGTAGCCGTAGCCGAGGGAAAAGTCGGGCAAGGAGCAAAAGCAGATCAAGGAGTAGGAGTCGCAGCCATGGAAAGAGCCGGGGTAGAATAAACCATCACTCAGACCACAGGGACAAAAGGAGCCCCAGTCGGAGCTGTAGCGGCAGTATCAGTAATCACTCCTCCTGCACACAATGACCTGCTTGAGGGCCTCAAACGGGTTATGAACAGCAAGCAACTGGAGGACAGTATGCCTTCCATCAAGAATGCCATTCTCACAATACAGGTATAGTATGAGAAAGACATGGGTTGTTATGGGGTATGTTTAGTTAATGAATGTTCTACAATCATGGCGAGACCCATTTTGAAGTAATATTCTAATTTATATCTGCAGTGAAGAAGGCTAGACAATATAACAAATGTAAAATCAATCCTCAAAATAAAACCCATTGATGTCTTTTCTGTTTGTTCCATAGGCCAATAACTTTAGCAAAGATATCCAGAGCAGCAGAGCAATCCAGAGCAGCAGCCTTCCAGGTGGACCAGTCTTGGCCAGCAGACAGGAATTTCTTCAAGTATCAGATGGGCCTATGCCAGTCAGTAGACAGGGTGATCCACAGATGAGACGGGAGGAGACCGACAGCAATCTTCTCCCCCACGAGAGGGTGGGCTGTGACTTCTCCTGGCTGCAGGGCACCAGGGAGGTCTCGCCTGTTCAGAAGCCAGAGGAGGTCGAGGATGAGGAGGACTTCCTCTATGGGAATGAGGATATCCAGCCAAAACAACACCCTGCCACCCTGCCTTTCGCACAGTCCACATCCATTACCCAGCAGAGCGATGCAGAGATCTCCCCGGCAGGCCCACCCTACTATCAAAGCCAGCCTTTGTTCGGGAACCATGGTGAAATCCAGGTGCTCAAGATGCCTTCTCAACCAGTCCAGTCCAGTGTGAGGCCTGAGAAGAGGGTACAGCCTGTTTCTGCTCCTGATGTGAAGCCCGCCCCCACTGTGAAGGAATGTGAGAAGTACAAGACTATTTTGAAGAACATTGGTCTGAATTTGGGCACGGCAGAGATCAGTAAGATGATGAGCAAGCTGCAGCAACAGAAGGAGGGGAAGATGCCAGAGCAGAAGAGGGAGGAGAAACTGCTGTCACCAGCACCAGCGATTCCTATTGTAGTTGGGGCATCACAGGAGCCCAGACTGGCCTCGCCAGCATTCGGGGCAGCACCAATACGACAAGCACTGGAGTCTTTACAGTCCATTATTAAAGGTTAGAGCAGTCTATATACAACAAATTCACTCTTGCAGGAAACATTTTAATCTATACTGAACAAAAATATAAACGCAACATGCAACAATTTCAATGATTTTACTAAGTTACAGTTCATATAAGGAAATAAGTGAATTATAATGAATTCATTAGGCCCTAATCTATGGATTTCACTCGACTGGGTAGGGGCGCAGTCATGGGTGGGCCTGGCATAGGCCCACCCACTTGGGAGCCAGTCCCAGCCAATCAGAATGTGTTTTTGCCCACAAAAGGGCTTTATTACAGACAGAAATACTCCTCAGTTTCATCAGCTGTCCGGGTGGCTGGTCTCAGACGACCCCGCAGGTGAAGAAGCCGGATGTGGAGGTCTTGGGCTGGCGTGGTTACACGTGGTCTGCGGTTGTGAGGCCAGTTGGACGTACTGCCAAATTCTCTAAAACGACGTTGGAGGCAGCTTATGGTAGAGAAATTAACATTAAATTATCTGGCAACAGCTCTGGTGGACATTCCTGCAGTCAGCATGCCAATTGCAAGCTCCCTCAAAACTTGAGACATCTTTGGCATTGTGTTATGTGACAAAACTGCACATTTTAGTGGCCTTTTATTGTCCCCAGCACAAGGTGCATCTGTGTAATGATCATGGTGTTTAATCAGCTTCTTGATATTCCACACTTGTCAGGTGGATGGATTATGTTGGCAAAGGATAAATGCTCATTAACAGGGATGTAAACAAATTTGTGCACAACATTTTTGAGAAATAAGCTTTTTGTGCATATGAAACATTTCTGGGATCTTTTATCTCAACTCATGAAACATGGGGCCAACACTTTACATGTTGCGTTTATATTTTTGTTCAGTATATATTAATGATCCCATTTCTATAACTGTCTTTAGCAACAAGGGAGAAAAGGGCCAATAGTGATCCACATGATGGCAACCATTCCCAGAGGAGTTCAGACAAACAGAAGGTAACATTTACTTGGCAGTGTTATTCCAATCACACTCTATTCTCTGCGATAAACCTCAGTATTGCTGATGATAATTACTCCTGATGTTTGTTGTGTACAGCATGTTGTGATGTCTAAACTAGAAAACACTGCATTTTAACATTGTGATGAAATGGGACTTTCTAGAGCAAAGATGACGATGAGAGTCAGAGGAGATCAAGACATGACCAAATGAAAAGGAAAGAAATTCTTGTGAAGGAACTGGAGGAATTGCTAATGCAGGATGGTATAGTATTGTTCATTATATACCTGTCTTTCCAACCAGTCTTTCTCTATCTACATAATATAAGCATTATTTTTGTTTCCATCATTACTTGCTGATAGAATTACTCCTAAATTCCTTTTCATTCCTATATTTTTCAGGGTCTACCTTTCTAATTCCTGTCATCGGGTTCTACTGCCAGAAGTGTGAGGAGTTCTTTGGAGACCTGACCACTGCTGAGGGCCATGCAGCAACCCACAGGCGGAATGAGCCTAGCATGGCAAGTACCTAGCTACATTCTCTCGCCCCACACAGTAACCCAACTGTATACACTGCATTGACCAAATAAATAACGTAGTTAAACCATTGTATTGTTCAACCTAGATCACACCTCAGTATTAACTTGAGGTTCCTTTCCAGTCCAGTTGGCTTCAGCATCCATAAAAAAAGTCTAATTCCCAAAAACAATTGTGGTGTTATTTTCAGTATTATAATCCCAAACTGTATCAATATAATTCTTAGCTACTTGTTTCACCTTGTCTATAGCATCAGCATGGAGACAGACGACCTGGAGAGGACAGAGGACACCCTAGCCATCACAGCAGATACCCCCTGGCCCCAGAGCAGAGGGACCAGAGAGACCCAAGAGATCAGAGGTATCCTGAGCACCAGAGGGATCAGAGGCACCCTGACCTTAAACGCAAACTAGATGAGGGCCCAAAGGGTTACAGGAACGACAGGGAGAAGATCTACGTGAAAGAGGAACGACCTGGAAGCCCCAGGATAAAGATGACGATGGTCTGCGGGCACACCCCACCAGGTTTGCAGAAGGCCAGGGGGAGAGAGGAGGGGAGAGTGGATAAGGGCTCTTGTGCTGCTTCCTCTGACCCTGCCAGTGGGAAACATGGTAGAGTCAAACTGGAGGAGATGGAGACCAAAGGAAATCCCACAGTGGAAGTATGTGACAAAAAGGACAAAGATAAAGGAGAAAGCAGTTCCAGCAGTGATGACGAGAAAGGCAAATCTCCTAAAGGCAACAAAAATAAGAAGAAGAAGAAAAAGAAGAAGAAGAAGAAGAAGAAGAAGGAAAAGGATTAGAATAAGTAATAGCTGCTGTACTGCATGTCCTGGTTTGATTGTATCTCTGGAGGACCTGGCCTTGGGTCATTGTTTGGCATCATTGCAGCTGTTTTCAGAAGTTGGAGCTTTTAAAGTTAGAAATAAACAATATTCCTCTGATTTTTTTCTCTCCTTTTGGGGTTGTCCTTTTTTCAACAAACTGTGTTCCTCTGTGTTGCAGCATTTATCATGTCCAGAATCATTTTGCTGCCAGCTACTGATCCCATTGTTCAGACCTTTAGTTACTGTAAATGTTTATTAAACAACCCTCTTATATTGGGCCATGGCCACTTTTGTGTATATTTCACTTGGTTCAACCTTGATTTAGTGCTGCAAATATGATCAAATTTATTTTCCCAATTTAAAGGTCAACTGCCATTTGAAGCATGTGCTGTCTGTTTTTCTTCCTAATGTTAAACTGTTGAGATGGAATTATTCTATAATGGAGAAATTCTCTTACAACATACATTGTCCTCTTATAATCTAGGTCTCAGCAATTGATGGAGCAAGTCTATTTGCAAGCGCAAATGATCTTGCCAGTCATTGGATCCTATCAGGATAGAAACAGTTTCCATATTTTTGTAAGGTGATCACTGTTTTGTATCTGATTATATACGTCATGTTTTTGACTGCTGTTGCTCACTCGCTTGTCCTCTTTCTCACACTTTAGGCATTTCCATTGACCCAGGTTTATTCAACAAAGCAATGTCTAAAAAAATAGTTGTGACGTGTAATAGAAACGGCAGATATAGCAGACATTTTAAAGATCAAAATTTTTATCCGTTCAATAGGGGTCCATTTTTCTTTTGTTGAATTTTCTTTACTGCGACAAATGATGGAAACTGTTTTTCGAATAAATGATGATTGCCGAATACTTTTGAAGGTACGCGGGGCATGTGACGTCATCACAAAACAATACGCTCCACTCCTTCTAAATGCCTACTGCTTGCAAAATAATTGTTCTATTAAGCTAACATATTTAATTGTTTTAAGATTGTCATATCATGGATAATTTAGCGATTTGATTTTGAACTTTAGGACCCCTTTAGGTATCCAAAAAATATACAACAATTATTTGATAAAATATTGAATTTGTCCTCTACTACTATAGTCCATAGAAACGCATTGAATAACACATTCATAAATGGCAAAAAAGGATTTGCCAGTAGATTGTCGACTTGATTATTGATGATGACCGCTTGTCTAGCTTGCTAGCTAAGATTTGTGACTCGTTTCAGGAGCGCCATTTGAATGTGAACTTTTATCAAAATAAGTTTTTTGGCAGAAATGCCTTCTAGAACATGTGAATGTTAATGTGCCTTAATAACAAACTTGTATGCCATCTGTAAATACTAATTAAATTGTTAAATTACGAGCCTAGTTGGTTTAGCCACGGACAAAGACAGTCACCTTTCCGCTAGCCATGATTGGCTGAGATAATGAGTGGGCTGGACATGCCGAGAGATGAGTTCAGATTGGTCTGCCATGTAGCATGCTTCTGTCTATAATATGAGCTGGTCAGTATGTGTAGGTAATCCTTTCTAACACAGCTTTTTTGAAAGATATCACGTAGTAGAACTGCATAAGTGTTACTCTCCGCTTTCTGGAGGACCGAGTTTTGAAATCAGTGGAATTAGAGTATGATAGCTAAGGAGATGGAGGAAATTCTGGCGTTTGATTGCAAATATGCAGACGGAGTCAAAAAGAGAACACACAGAAGGCTATTGTATAAAACACCTGTCTCCGGATTACATCTTCAAACGAATGGCAACCGTGGCATCCGTGACAGAGAGAGAGAAGCGTCCATCCATGTATACGGGTAAGAGAGTCTAGCTAGCTACATTTTCAGATATAACACATTTCTCATTTTGTCAGAAACTCGTTTTCATTTCAAGTTCAAGTGTACTGTTAGCTAGCTAGCTAACGTTACGTGTATTATCTGTAGTAATATTATTTGTATTTCGGAGCGAGGCAGAGGCACAGAAACTCACATCAATACCTTTGTCAGATAACACTGTGAAACTAAGAATTTATGTTATAGCTAGCAATCAAGAGGAAACTGACTGAATGACTGAAAAACTCCCCACCTTATGCTCTCCAAATGGACGTTAGCTGTGAGGGCCAAGATGCCCATACATTGACTTTTGTTTGCTACATGTCGGGATGCTATTCACGAGGACATATTTATTGTTTTGTCTCACGGGATGTTCAGTGTGCTGCGTGGCTATATTGATGAAAAACAGATTGAATGGTGGGCTTTTGCACAGATCGGGCTCCTATCTATGGTGGGATGGCGGGCAGGCCTCTGCAATTTAGTTATGAATGTGTCTCCCTCTGCCATATGGAAGCATTGTATGATACACCCACTGAGCTATAATGGTTACACCGAGAGCAACTGGCGGCAAAAGAGCTGAGCGCAGAACTCAGAGATATGCAGCAGGTAACTTCGATTGTAAACTACATTGCGCACGCCTGTTCGCAAAACTATGTGGCGATATGGGATCAGAGCATGACAATGTTATATTTCACACGGAGGCTTGGTGGTCATCGAGGGGGAGTGTTGGAAAGATTTTTTGAATGGAGAGAGGAACTGTTGTCAATTGCAATGGATGTAAAAAAAACAGACTTTGTTGACTTTCTGTGTAATGAAAATAAAATGTCTCATTGCCTATGTAACAGACATATTTGGGAAACTGAATGAACTGAACGCAAGCATACAGGGGAAATACAAAAAATATATACGGATGAGTGACCGAATCAGCTAAATTAGTTTGACTGTGATCATGGCTTAGTTGACATGACGGTAAGTGAAACCGAACAGCTGATGGAGCTGTCATGTGACCGAATGCTGCAGACAACGCATTTACGGGTCACTATGGAGGAGATGTTGTTCCTGAGAAAGGGAATACTGTGCCGTCTACCTCAGAGCACTAAAACTCGGATTCAGTGCTCTCCTCTGCATTAACAACAAATATCGATCCAGGTTGGATGTGACAGGAGAGATGAAGCGCACACTGTCGACCACGCCCCTGACTTTGAGAAGCTCTGACACGACATGAATCAAGCACACCCATGTCATTAGTGGTGGAGAGTTAAGATAAATGTCAGACTAATTTGCAATTGACTGTCAACGCCCCACATTAAAAGTATATGATGGTGAGTTGAGAATACAATCAGAAATACTGTTATACTGTTATAGCCCCAATTAAAAAAGTAAACATTGGCTGTTAATTACATTAATAAAATTCACATGGTTGGGGTCAAGAGAATTTTCAGATATAAAAATGGGGTTGTGGGCAAAAATAGTTTTTACAAAGAAAAAAATGAAGAATTTTTTTTTTACATAAGTATTCAGACCCTTTACTCAGTACTTTGTTGAAGCACCTTTAGCAGCGAATATAGCCTCAAGTCTTCTTGGGTATGAAGCTACAAGCTTGGCACACCTGTATTTGGGGAGTTTCTCCCATTCTTCTCTGCAGATCCTCTCAAGCTCTGTCAGTTTGAATGGGGACCATCGCTGCACAGCTATTTTCAGGTCTCTCCAGAGACGTTTGATCGGGTTCAAGTCCGGCCTCTGGCTGGGCCACTCAAGGACATTCAGAGACTTGTCCCAAAGCCACTCCTGTGTTTTCATGGCTGTGTGCTTAAGGTCGTTGTCCTGTTGGAAGGTGACTCTAGATAGCGCGGTCCCTTTCTATAATGTCTGTCAGAGATACTTCTGAGAAGATAGGAAACTCCAATGGAATCGTATTAACGTTGCCCATGGGCCGCGCGGTGCATTATGGGTGGTTCTGGGACAAGGAGCACTCTCCTTCAAGGAGTGAGGCGTTATACGTTCGTCCATTTAATGCCCTGTGGGATTCCTATCTCCTCCTTTCTCTAATATCTCTGATCCAATTTCAACGTCACGAAGGTCCCAGTCAGAAATTAATACCGGTCCTGATGAAATCATTATAATGAGATTTTTTTCTGAGTGAATGCAATTGCACTTTTAATTTAAATTTGTTGTATGTATTTAAAATATTTATTGTTTTTACCTGTGTTTTGTTTTGTGTTAGACATGTTTGACGTAGTGATGTAAATTGTTGATTGCTGATAATTTGTATAATTAATATTTGTGTCTGATATTTGTAATTTGTACTTGGAATAAAATTAAATAAAATTGCTGTCCTGATGATAACCTGCAAATAGTCCACCCGTATTTCTTCTGATTATAAAACAAGCGTGATTTCTACCAGTATGAGATATAAATTGTATAAAGTTGAATTACAGCTCGATTAATCACCTCCTAATCGAATCCTCTGCTAACCCCCACCGAAGAAGAAGAAGAAGAAGAAGAAGAAGAAGAAGAAGAAGAAGAAGAAACCTCTGCTTCTGGCATTTTGTCCACAATTTCAAACAGGCAACATCATGGACAGCTCCGTGTAAAAAGCCTGTAGTTTCACGTGGGGTACAAAATTGTGCTAACTGTAATTACTGTTATTTACAATCGTCTTTGCTTATTCATCAACTGCTATGTACGATTATTACAAAAGGTACGTGCCTATAATTAAATGTTATCTGTTTAGAGTACATACGCATAGACACTCCTATGGTGGTATAGCGACCCTATTAGCTAGCTTGCTCGATAGCATCACATTGCTAGGGACTGTAACGTCTACACATACTTCCACTTTCATCCAATGTGTTAAATATACCGGTTTCATCTAGCTATACTACTCTAAATATTTTTTTCCCGAGATAAACTGTAGTTAGACACTGTTAGCTAGGAACGACCCTCATGTTACTCATTATTTATAGCTAGTTAAGTGAATTAGTACGCTAACTCACGTTAGTTGTAACGCAACTAATGTTGCAGGTGACAGGAGACATGATGAAGAACAGAGGTGGCGGGGTGGACAACCGACTCAAACAGAGAGTTGAGCAGGTACATTTTAGACTAGTTATTCGCAGTATACACCAACTGTCGCCTGATTCCTATTTTGTAACACGCTAGCTAGCTAACATAATTTACAGTAATGTGTTGTTACTGTATTGGATCTGTTCAATTTTGTCTGCTAGTATTTGAGTAACCAGAGCGGTCAGTATGTTGACATTACTTCAATGGCACATGATCTTCAGAGACTCTACAGGTGAGTTTGATTTATCATAATTTCCCCATGTACTCTTTCTACAACCTTGCCTTTCTGAAAACCTTCAGGGTTTATACACACAGCTTAATATTGTATCCTCCTCAGAATGGACTATGGCAGGCGAAACAAGACTGCATTCAGGATTCAGGTGGAAAAAGGTGAGTGAAAACTTATACAAGTACCTAATTTATCATTTGACTGCACATGGCATTTTTGGTAGTTCAGCTACAATGCATCTGCCGATCTTTTCATTAAAGCATGTTAGCCAATTTCTCCAAGAGCAAACCAGGACTTACAATTCTCTGTGCATTTTTACACCTTCAGTCCATGGCGTGATATGCGATGAATCTGGACTGAACGATCTGGAGAACAAGCACTTGGCCAAGAGAGCCAGACACAGTGAGAAGGATGCTGGGTAAGGGCCACACCATCTGCTCATAATCTTTTTGTTTTGATTTGTCAATGCCCCTGAGTTGAGTGATTATACAGCGCATATTCTGGTCTTTTACAGGGATGGCAGCAGTAACTTGGATGACACTACTGATAGTGATGAGGACCTTCCCGAACAACCGGTACATAATTCTCTACTACCTCTTTTCATTCATTTGTCAAGTTTACCATCCTTATGTGTTGCTTATTACCATGTGAGTCATTGTAATATAAAAAATGACACAGAGCTTCAGGACAATACGCTAATAGACTAAACTTGTTTTTCCTTCTGATTATCCCTTGCCTTAACAGCCCATCAACCTCATGAATAACTCCCTGATGTCCCTGTACAAGAAGGGGAACCCAGAGAGTGGGGCATCTCCCAGGAGGGACCAGTCTGCATCAGACAGCCCTGCCCCCGAGGCTCAGTCCACCCCTCACAGTGTTGGCACAAAGGTGTCTGCAGGGGGCTGGTTCATAGACAAGGGCAGAGGCCTGGAGCATGACAGCATCCTCATTGACCTGTGTGAAGAGGAGGCAGCCAGTCCTGCAGGAAATGTATGTGTCACAGCTTCCTATGTTGTCTTTCGTCAGTAGTGGATGACTACATCTCTCTTTGTCTCACAATTTGCTATAACAATTTGAATGCTTATGTTGACTTCACCAGAAGCAGACAGATGTCTCAATGCTTGAGCCTGAGAAGACACCAAAAAAAGGCAAATTGAAAAAATCTAAACGGCGGAAAGAGGGAGCGTCAAAGGGCAACGATGGTGACATCGAGGCCAGTATCATGAACAAGAAAGGTTGCTTCCCACCTTACTTTAATGATGTTTAAGAACTCAAACATTGTAGCCAGTCAAGGATACAAACAATATAAACTAAACAGTTGAACATATTAAGACATTATACATCCCTCAAATTCAAATCTGGACCACGAAGCCAGTTCCACTGCTTTTTTTCATTCATCCTCTCTAATCAGGGACTGATTTACGCAAAAGACACCAGGTGGGTGCAATTAATTATCAGGTTGAACAGAAAACCAGCAGTAGTCCAGACCTCGTAGGGTAAGATTTGAATACCCCTGTTCTACAGTATCACTTGAAGTCAGAATGGTGTGTGTTTTGTAAACTATACGTTTTCCTCTGATCGTTCTAGCGAGGACAAAATCCATTGAACTACAGTATTCTACATTAAAGTTTGAAGATGTTGGAGGCAATGAGGACACGTTAACGGTATGCTTTGTTTTGTCAGTTTTAGTGTTGTCAGTTTTCTTAGCTGTGGAATCTCATTTAGATGTATTCTGGGTTGTATTCTGTATGCACGAAATGGGAGAAAGCAGACGAGCTCATACCTGAACTTGTCCAATAAGAATACTCCTATTCATTTCCTGTTTGAAAATGTTTTTTTTACATTGTATCCTGCTGAACATGACCCATGCACTGAACCATAATGGCTTGTAGATTGAATTCCTGTCTGGCTCTTTGTCACTGAAGGAGGTGTGTAAGCTGCTGATCCATATGCGTCATCCAGAGGTGTACCAGCAGTTGGGGGTGGTCCCTCCACGGGGGTTCCTGCTTCATGGCCCCCCTGGCTGTGGGAAAACCCTGCTGGCCCAGGCTGTGGCTGGGGTGAGTCTGGATGGTGTCCCCCTTTATATATAGAGATGATTTTTCCTCACTAATCTTATTCCACATTTTTCCTCACTAACCTTTTTCCACATTTCCTGGAAAAATCTTCTAATATAGACATGTTTTTTTCTATGTGAAAATGACTCATTCATTTCCCTCTGTGTGTGTTAAAAGGAGATGGAGCTGCCCATGCTGAAGGTGTCGGCGCCAGAGCTGGTGTCTGGGGTGTCAGGGGAATCTGAGCAGAAGCTGAGAGAGCTGTTTGAGCAGGCTGTGGTAAGTGTCACTCCTGAGTCTAGACAGACGGGCTGCTACACAGTTTGCTGTGAAATTAAATGAATATTTTATAAGAATGTCCCCTCAAGGACAGCTCGCTCAAACTAACCATTCTGGTCCTGTTACCCTTGCAGACCAGCTCCCCTTGCATCCTGTTCATTGATGAGATTGATGCCATCACTCCTAAGAGAGAGGTGGCCTCCAAGGACATGGAGAGACGGATTGTTGCTCAGCTGCTCACCTGCATGGATGGTGAGAGATGCTAGTGCAATACATCTTGTTGATTTCATGACTTTTGAGTTGATGATTACAATACACCTATATTTCTTTGATAGGAATATCTCCTTTTATGATAAAGAAATCAATTTGATATATTTTGTTGGCAGGGTTGGGAGATTATCAATTCACCTTCTCTGGTACTTTTGGTTGACGTTAATCTTCCCTTCACTCTTTCATCTATGCGTTTCTCCAGACCTGAACTCTTTAGCTGTCACAGCCCAGGTAATGGTCATTGGTGCCACCAACCGGCCAGACTCTCTGGACCCAGCGCTGCGCCGTGCTGGACGCTTTGACAAAGAAATCTGTCTGGGGATACCTGATGAAGCAGCTCGTCTCAGGTGAGTGGATTTGTCTCCTATAATAATAGTGGCGTTGACGATAATGTGGTTGCTAGCTCTGGTGTTGAGACTGTAAGTTACCCGCCGTGTGTTGATTCCTGCTCTCAGAATTCTGAAGACCCTTTGTCGGAAGCTGAAGCTCCCTGAGGACTTTGACTACCGGCAGCTGGCGCGTCTTACCCCGGGGTACGTGGGAGCTGACCTCATGGCGCTGTGCCGCGAGGCCGCCATGAGTGCCGTCAACAGGGTCCTGCTGGAGAGGCAGGACAAGAACCAGGGGATGGTCCCCATGGCGGAGGAGAGCGCAGAGTCAGAGGTGCCTCAGGGCGCAGGTCCTCTCCCACAGGGCCCAGAGAGATGCCAGGCCTCAGCAGACACAGAGCACCAGGAGATGACAGACCTTAGCCACGTACCACAGGGAGACCAGCAGCATCCTCTGGCCACTGAGACAACCTTCAGGGTGATATATTTGACTCCATCAAATAAACACTGGCTGTGTTTTTCACTAGGACAGTATGCTGTAAATAGTATTGAATTCACTGTTCCCTCTGAATCTGGTGAACATCCCACCTTGATGGTCAGTGGTGTGAAAATGTTCCACTTCTCTGTCTTCACCACCAGGGGGAGCTGTGTCGCCTGCTGTCTCTGCTGAAGAGCAGTGAGTCGCTGTCTGAGGAGCAGCTTGCTGGCCTGTGCATCCTCATGTCAGACTTCCTGGGCTCCCTGGCCAGTGTGCAACCCTCTGCCAAGCGTGAAGGCTTCGCCACGGTGCCAGACGTCACCTGGGAGGACGTGGGGGCCCTGCATGACATCCGCGAAGAGCTCACCATGGCCATCCTGGTGGGTATCTCCTCAAAACAGCTGATGCTATATCTGATATGTTGGGCTCAGTGTTAGCCACTGCTAAACAACATAAGGATTTGGACTTGGTGTATTATAATTTGGGCCAGGAGTTTTTCTGTTCAGGTCACGTTGTCAGGAAAATTGACCAGTTCCTTTGCTCTCGTAGCATTTAAGATTGTCAAATAAAATATCCACCTCTATCACGGTTATCTCTCTAAGACATTAAACTATTTATTCCAAAAGCATAACACCATAAAACAATTGTCCCCACCCTAGAAGTATTTTGTCATCAGAACATAGGGAATATACTGTACCTGTTCTGTGATTGGAGCATGTCATTCAGAACAACAGTGGTTGATTGTGGGAACTTAACCATATATAATAGGTTTTGGTATTCTGACTCAACTGCTATGGTTGAATAAGTATCAACACAAGGAACCATAGGTTCTCTTCAGGTTAATTTAACAACAGCATGACGTCAGTCAATTTACACGGTCAATGGCAGTGGTCACAGAGTTAATGGCACATTGCAAATGTTATAGATTAACATTGTATGGCTGTCGGCTCTATCTAGCTCTAAACTCATCCAGATTCAGACTGGATTATAGGTCGTACTTTGTTGACTTCAGAATGAATACTGGCATTGTGCGTCTTAGATGAATAAGGGCAGTGTGTGTATTAACTTTGTGTTTGTGTGTGTCCTCAGGCCCCTGTGCGTTCTCCTGAGCAGTTCAAAGCCCTGGGTCTCAGTGCTCCTGCAGGGGTGTTGCTAGCTGGGCCTCCAGGTTGTGGAAAGACCCTGCTGGCCAAGGTACCGTTTGCCAGCTGCTAAAATAAGTGGAATGTTGAAGGCTTGTGGTGGTTTAGTAAATAATCAGTTCCAACAGTATACCGTGTTGTGTGTCTCCGATTTCAGGCTGTTGCCAATGAGTCAGGACTTAACTTCATCTCTGTCAAGGGGCCAGAGCTGCTGAACATGGTGAGTCATTCAGCTATACAGATTCCTGGAGTGCCTCAACATGACTTTGGCCTGTGACACTTAGCCAAGTCATATTAACTCTGTGTCGGTAAATCTGCTGACATTATATTTGTAACTGAAGTGCCCGACTGAAATCATTGCGTTCTCACAGAGAGTAAGCAGAAGTGATCTGACAGCCTTGTGCATTATTTACTTGGAGAGGGCTCGGTTACCTGTAGTCACAGCTATCTATACCGTTAATAGTCATTATATCAGAGACCCTTCACACTGTGAGGTAATACTCCTAAATCACCTGGATGCATTTTAATGGCCTATTTCATGTCCACTGACTTTATATAATGTAAAACACAAAGGAAACATACTTTGATTCTGGGGGCCTGAATGATTAACTTAGCATTATGTAGGTTAGATGGAATGCCAAGAGTGTGCAAAGCTGTCATCAAGGGTGGTTACTTTGAATAATCTCAAATATAAAATATATTTTGATTTGTTTAACACTTTTTTGGTTACTACATGATTCAATGTGTTATTTCATAGTTTTGATATCTTCACTATTATTCTACAATGTAGAAAATAGTAAAAAATAAAGAAAAACCCTGGAATTAGTAGGTGTGTCCAAACTTTTGACTGGTACTGTATGTGTGTCTGTTATTCGAGCTGTGGATTTCGACATGAGTTAGACAGCTTTGTGTCTCTTGTTCCTCAGTATGTGGGAGAGAGCGAGCGGGCCGTGCGACAGGTGTTCCAGAGAGGAAGGAACTCTGCCCCTTGTGTCATCTTTTTCGACGAGATCGATGCACTGTGCCCCCGCCGCTCCGGGCATGAGGTGAGAAGGGCTAATAATCCGCTATCTGAGGGTCACCATCTGAGTGAATGGAGGTGAATGATGATTAATATAGTATTGTTGACATGAGGGTGATGGTGGCGGTGTGTCCTCAGTCTGGAGCCAGTGTCCGTGTGGTCAACCAGCTGCTTACTGAGATGGATGGACTGGAGACCCGGCGGCAGGTCTTCATCATGGCTGCTACCAATAGACCAGGTGGGCTTCTCACATCATTTCACTCCCTCATTGACATAGATATTCACCTATCACAAAACCAAAATTTGAGGGAGATTCTTTTTCAGTGTTTTGGTGTATGGTTCTATTGACGCATGTACAGTTTTGTATACTTATATGAAGCTACTATTCAAATCTGTGAAGTTATTCACCATTGTTGACGCTGTCCCTGTAGATATCATTGACCCTGCTGTGCTGAGACCAGGCCGTCTGGACAAGACCCTGTATGTGGGCCTCCCACCTCCATCAGACCGACACGCCATCTTACTCACCATCACCAAGGTAATGTGGAATGCCATGGATGGAAGCTCACAATGCGACAATCCATGAGCCTCATATAATGCCTTAGTTAGTGGCTGGTGTTGCTGTGAGAAGGGTTGTTTCATGATTATTGTGTCTGTCATAGGGGGGCAGTAAGCCTCATCTGGAGCAGGATGTGAGTCTGGAGGAGATAGCCCATGACATGCGCAGTGACTGTTTCACGTGAGTGTCCCAGAGAAGGAATACATCTTAACCTGCAGGTTTCCAGACTAACCCTTTCCCCTTGTGGCATTTGTGCCACTAACATTTTCAGTTGGTGGCACCGGCCCATGATTTGGTCGCACCAACATTTTGCTGCAGGGTCATTTGTAAAGTGGTTATCCCACTGGCTATAGGGTGAACGCACCAATTTGTGAGTCGCTCTGGCTAAGAGCGTCTGCTAAATGACGTTAATGTGCCCTTGAGCAAGGCACTTAACCCTAATTGCTCCTGTAAGTCGCTCTGGTTAAGAGCGTCTGCTAAATGACTAAAATGTAAAAATGTAATGCAATAGAAAAAAATAGTAATCATCTTATAAAATCATTCACAGTGCTACTGAGATGACAATTAGGCTATTGTTGCTATATCAAAATAGGGCTCCAGCATTTGAGTCTTTTGTTCTATAGAGATTAATTTGTGTACTAATATCACATAGGCTAATTCATTTGGGGCTAATTTAAGTTACACGTTTTATTGTCACATGCAGAGGATACAGCAGGTGTAAAACAGCACAGTGAAATGCTTAACTTGCGAGCTCTTTCCCAACTATGCACAATACAGGTAGTAATATAAGTAAGAAATAAAACGTGAAATGAGAGAGAAAAAATAAAAGAAACACGAGAATTCAGTTATCGACAGGTCAGTGCAGTGCCAGTACCGTTATTACAATGTGCAGGGGTACTGGAGTGAATTTGTTTTTTGAGGAAGGAATGTACATGTAAAAGTAGCAGGATAAATACTAATGGTAATAATAATCTTAATAAACAATATAGCAGCAACGAATTGTAATATTTATCACTATAATCAATCAATTATGACAGCATCATATGTGGTGCGTCCATGGTAATGAGAGTATACAGTGGGGAAAAAAAGTATTTGGTCAGCCACCAATTGTGCAAGTTCTCCCACTTAAAAAGATGAGAGAGGCCTGTAATTTTCATCATAGGTACACGTCAACTATGACAGACAAATTGAGGGGAAAAAATCCAGAAAATCACATTGTAGGATTTTTTATGAATTTATTTGCAAATTATGGTGGAAAATAAGTATTTGGTCACCTACAAACAAGCAAGATTTCTGGCTCTCACAGACCTGTAACTTCTTCTTTAAGAGGCTCCTCTGTCCTCCACTCGTTACCTGTATTAATGGCACCTGTTTGAACTTGTTATCAGTATAAAAGACACCTGTCCACAACCTCAAACAGTCACACTCCAAACTCCACTATGGCCAAGACCAAAGAGCTGTCAAAGGACACCAGAAACAAAATTGTAGACCTGCACCAGGCTGGGAAGACTGAATCTGCAATAGGTAAGCAGCTTGGTTTGAAGAAATCAACTGTGGGAGCAATTATTAGGAAATGGAAGACATACAAGACCACTGATAATCTCCCTCGATCTGGGGTTCCACGCAAGATCTCACCCCGTGGGGTCAAAATGATCACAAGAACGGTGAGCAAAAATCCCAGAACCACACGGGGGGACCTAGTGAATGACCTGCAGAGAGCTGGGACCAAAGTAACAAAGCCTACCATCAGTAACACACTACACCGCCAGGGACTCAAATCCTGCAGTGCGAGACGTGTCCCCCTGCTTAAGCCAGTACATGTCCAGGCCCGTCTGAAGTTTGCTAGAGTGCATTTGGATGATCCAGAAGAGGATTGGGAGAATGTCATTTGGTCAGATGAAACCAAAATAGAACTTTTTGGTAAAAACTCAACTCGTCATGTTTGGAGGACAAAGAATGCTGAGTTGCATCCAAAGAACACCATACCTACTGTGAAGCATGGGGGTGGAAACATCATGCTTTGGGGCTGTTTTTCTGCAAAGGGACCAGGACGACTGATCCGTGTAAAGGAAAGAATGAATGGGGCCATGTATCGTGAGATTTTGAGTGAAAACCTCCTTCCATCAGCAAGGGCATTGAAGATGAAACGTGGCTGGGTCTTTCAGCATGACAATGATCCCAAACACACCGCCCGGGCAACGAAGGAGTGGCTTCGTAAGAAGCATTTCAAGGTCCTGGAGTGGCCTAGCCAGTCTCCAGATCTCAACCCCATAGAAAATCTTTGGAGGGAGTTGAAAGTCCATGTTGCCCAGCGACAGCCCCAAACATCACTGCTTTAGAGGAGATCTGCATGGAGGAATGGGCCAAAATACCAGCAACAGTGTGTGAAAACCTTGTGAAGACTTACAGAAAACGTTTGACCTGTGTCATTGCCAACAAAGGGTATATAACAAAGTATTGAGAAACTTTTGTTATTGACCAAATACTTATTTTCCACCATAATTTGCAAATAAATTCATTAAAAATCCTACAATGTGATTTTCTGGATTTTCTTTTCTTATTTTGTCTTTCATAGTTGACGTGTACCTATGATGAAAATTACAGGCCTCTCTCATCTTTTTAAGTGGGAGAACTTGCACAATTGGTGGCTGACTAAATACTTTTTTCCCCCACTGTATGTGAGATGTCAGTAGTGACTGTCAGTATGCGTGAATGTGAAGAGTGTCCATGTAGGTGTGTGTGGCTGAGTGGTGAGGATGGGAATAGAGTCCATGCAGATAGTCTGTGGGAGAGAGGGAGGGCAGGGGTAGTTGGCTATTCAACAGTTTTATGCTATTCAACAGTCTTATGGCCTTCCACCATCTAAGGAATTGGAAACGCAAAACGTATTATCTAGATAGCTAAATAGAATATACTGCTAGTTAGCTGTATAATTGATTAATCTAACAGTAAATTGAATTACCTAAAAGACTTTGCATCATACTACCCAATGAAGTCAATATAAAACTATGCAATCACCACCAATGGCCTTCACGTGCTTCCCGCGTGCCTTATCTCAAAGCCATACCAATTACTTTGGTTGTAAAACAGTGCTAGAGTGCTCAATATTGGGAGTTGAGAAATAAATATCATACCTTCAGAAAGCGGAGGCCCTCTTCTCTTCAACTGTTGTTGCTTTTAAAACAGTTTTTACCCACTATTGCATTTTAAAATGTTGGCAATCAGAACACCATTATTTAAATCTTCCATCCACTCGGAGTGCCCAGTGGGTACTGGGGAGAGGGAGTACACTCGCTCATCACAGCACGAAACAAGCACAGGGGCAGCGAAACAACATGGGCAGGGCAGACCCTTTGGTTGCAGAAATGTACTGTTTGACCAAATCACAACCTTACAGATGTTCTCTTAGAGCCTTCAACACAGTGGATATTGTGTGTTTGTTGTTCCATGCAGTGGGGCAGACCTGTCTGCGTTGGTGAGGGAAGCCTCTGTCAATGCTCTGAGAGCCTACCTCCTGACCCAACCCAACCCATCTTACACAGGTAATGCTGGCCTAAAGACAACTAGGTCTTCTCTGCCTCTTGACTCTTTTTAATGGAACACTGTGCAACCCTGGTTTATTGCTCACATACATTTAATGTCTGCCATTTATCACTGCTTTCTAAGGCAAGAGAAGTACCATACCCAAGGTCATAGTAATTGTACAGTATCCTCCACCAGGGTTGCCAGTCCACTTCCTCCATCTGAGTCTGTACTTATTAACCCCTCAGGTCACAGCTACTCCAACGGCCCTGTGGCCGACATCAGGGTCAGCAAGCAGAACTTTGAGGATGCCTTCAAGAAAGTACGGCCGTCTGTGTCTAAAAAGGTGAGATGCATTGGGATGTGAACAAATGAATGACTGCACAGAAGCACAGACTGACAGAAATGCATGTAACCAAACCCCGAATCCCTGTAGACAGTCTGACACGTATAATTTACTTAGCGAGTGACTCGTTTCAAGTCCAAATAGTTAGGGATTAGACAAGTCTAAGTATTTAGGGATGTCCCCAGAATCCAGAGTGTCTGGTAATGGCTTGTTTTGATTTGCCTCAGACGTCCTTATAATAATAATAATATGCCATTTAGCAGACGCTTTTATCCAAAGCGACTTACAGTCATGCGTGCATACATTTTTGTGTATGGGTGGTCCCGGGGATCGAACCCACTACCTTGGCGTTACAAGCGCCGTGCTCTACCAGCTGAGCTACAGAGGACCGTCCTTGGGAGCAGCATTCCTAAATGTGGTAATTAATAATGAAGTAGGTTAGCACATGATCTCCCCCCCCCCGGCTGTCTTTAATCTCTCCTAGGTGAACCAGTCTTTCCTGTCCCCATCAGTAAACACTGCAGTGGCAAAAATAAAATCAAAGTTTTATTGGTCGTGTACACTGATTTGCAGGTGTTATAGCAGGTGCAGTGAAATGCTTATGTTAAACATGTAGGTACTGTAGGTTTCCTCAGCTATTCCCACACAGCCTCAGTGGGTTTGTGGTCACTGGGGAACTAACTCTTCCGCCATTACCATTTCCATCCCTATTTGAATGCAAATGTAATAAATTAAGCCCAAAGTTAACAGGGTCTGGCCTGTTGGTCATAGTCCGACAAGGAAGTTGTGTGCTTTTACTTGCTCAGTTGTATGGTGTCCGTTTGTGTGATTGGATGTAGGTAGGAGCTGGGTGCCTTTTTAGGCTTCACTACAAAGAGGAAGAGACGGAACAAGTCTAAAACGACAAACAGAGCATGGAAGGATTTTTAATGACTCTTTATTTCCACCCTCTATAGGACCAGCGTATGTACGAGCAGCTAAAGGAATCTCTTACAAGGTGAGAGGATTTGACCAGAGTCCTTCAGAATGAAGGATATCAGTGCTGATAAGAAGACCAGTATCTCAATACACAATAAACATATTTATCAGACAAGAGTCCAAAATCCGAGTGATGTTTGAAAGGTTTACTCAGCGAAGATTTACCAGCTGAATACATACGTTCAATACAGTGCAGTGTCCATTTACACCCTTAGCTCTCACCCCCTCCCTTCCACAAAGATGTACTTCAGTACCAATGATTTCTCTGTGCGTATCACAGGGCTTCATATCAGGAGAGGCCTTGAGGTATTGGAAGTACACATTCCTACAGTCCACTAAATAATGACACTTCTCATACAGAGCTTGAACCTAATGCTACGTTCCATCTCTAAGGATATATAAAAACAATCTATTCACACTTAGAGGATATCATGATATAAAACAGTAATTTACAATCTACCAGGGCTGAGGACTATCTGTTTGGACACCAAGACATATTTGCTTTTTTGGATTGCTGTTTTATAATCCAAACCACATTTTAAGACATGTTTATATTCTTATGAAAGAAAATGTAAACCTTTATGAATGTCAAAAAAATTAAAATAGAAATTGATTACTGTATGTATTGACTGTTTTATTGAAAACATTGAGATGTAGGATAGTGTGATGACAGAACTACTTGAGTATGTATTTTGAATTTCGTGGTTGCAATTTTGTAATTTAATTTCGCACGTTTGTATCGTGTGAAAGATTTAACGTTCGCAAACTTGTAACTTGACATCTTAATACATTCAATGAGATTTGCAAGCATAATTTATTTTCAGAATAATTACAAGTCCACTTACGAGTGAATATTCTGCTGTGAATCAAAAATACTTGTAAATATTGAATCTGCGCATGCTCGGAGTTCTGTCACGGTACCAAGAAATTTGTGAACTTGTAGAAAGTTTTACGTTTGTAGCTAGAGAGATCATGCTTGTCGAACATCTCATTCCAAAATCATGTGCATTAATATGGGGTTGGTCCCCCCTTTGCTATCAGCCTCTGCTCTTCTGCGAAGACTTTCTACTAGATATTTGGAACATTGCTGCAGGGACTTGCGTCCATTCAGCCACGAGCATTAGTGAGGTCGGGCACTGATGTTGGGCGATTAGGTCTGGCTCGCAGTCGGTGTTCCAATTCATCCCAAAGGTAAATCAAATGTTATTGGTCACACACGTGTTTAGCAGATGTTTTTGCGGGTGTAGCGAAATGCTTGTGCTTCTAGCTCCGACAGTGAAGTAATATCTAACAACTTAAGAATATATACACTACCGGTCAAAAGTTTTAGAACACCTACTCATTCAAGGGTCTTTCTTTCTTTTTACTATTTTCTACATTGTAGAATAATAGTGAAGACCTCAACTATGAAATAACACATGGAATCATGTAGTAACCAAAAAAGTGTTAAACAAATCCAAATATATTTTATATGAGATTCTTCAAATAGCCACTCTTTGCCTTGATGTGGTCCGCTGTAGCTCAATTGGTAGAGCATGGCACTTGTAACGCCAGGGTAGTGGGTTCGATCCCCGGGACCACCCATACGTAAAAATGTATGCACACATGATTGTAAGTCGCTTTGGATAAAAGCATCTGCTAAATGGCATATTATTTTATTTATTTATTATGACAGATTTGCACAAGCATGGCATTCTCTCAACCAGCTTCATGAGGTAGTCACCTGGAAGCATTTCAATTAACTTCTTAAAAGTTAATTTGTGGAATTTCTTTCCTTAATGCGTTTGAGCCCATCAGTTGTGTTGTGACAAGGTAGGGGGGGTATACAAAAGATAGCGCTATTTGGTAAAAGACCAAGTCCATATTATGGCAAGAACTGTTCAAATGCAGTCGCAAAAACCATCAAGCGCTATGATGAAACTGGCTCTCATGAGGACCGCCACAGGAATGGAAGACCCAGAGTTACCTCTGCTGCAGAGGATAAGTTCATTAGAGTTACCAGCCTCAGAAATTGCAGCCCAAATAAATGCTTCACAGAGTTCAGGTAACAGACACATCTCAACATCAACTGTTCAGAGGAGACTGTGTGAATCAGGTCTTCATGGTCTAATTGCTGCAAAGAAACCACTACTAAAGGACACCAATAATAAGAAGAGACTTGCTTGGGCCAAGAAACACGAACAATGGACATTAGACCGGTGGAAATTTGTCCTTTGGTCTGGGGTCCAAATTGGAGATTTTTGGTTCCAACTGCCGTGTCTTTGTGAGACGCTGTGTGGGTGAACGGATTATCTCTACATGTGTATTTCCCACCGTAAAGCATGGAGGAGGAGGTGTTGTTGTGCTTTGCTGGTGACACTGTCTGGGATTTATTTAGAATTCAAGGCACATTTAACCAGCATGGCTACCACAGCATTCTGCAGCGATACGCCAGTCCCACTAAGCCCAAACCAGATGGGATATCATTTGTTTTTCAACAGGACAATGACCCAACACACCTCCAGGCTGTGTAAGGGCTATTTTACCAAGAAGGCGAGTGATGGAGTGCTGCATCAGATGACCTGGCCTCCACAATCCCCCGACCTCAACCAAATTGAGATGGTTTGGGATGAGTCGGACTGCAGAGTGAAGGAAAAGCAGCCAACAAGTGCTCAGCATACATGGGAACTCCTTCAAGACTGTTGGAAAAGCATTCCAGGTGAAGCTGGTTGAGAGAATGCCAAGAGTGTGCAAAGCTGTCATCAAGGCAAAGGGTGGTAATTTCTCAAATATAAAATATATTTAGATTGGTTTAACACTTTTTTGGTTACTAAATGATTCCATATGTGTTATTTCATAGTTTTGATGTCTTCACTATTATTCTACAATGTAGAAAATAGTAAAAATAAAGAAAAACCCTTGAATGAGTAGGTGTTCTAAAACTTTTGACCGGTAGTGTACATATAAGGACGACCGATGTCAGAGCGGCATGGACTAAGATACAGTAGTATAGAATGCAGTATATACATATGAGATGAGTAATACAAGATATGTAAACATTATTAAAGTGGCTAGTGTTCCATTTCTTAAAGTGGCCAGTGATTTCTAGTCTATGTCTATAGGCAGCAGCCTCTAACGTGCTAGTGATGGCTGTTTAACAGTCTGATGGCCTTGAGATAGAAGCTGTTTTTCAGTCTCTCGGTCCCAGCTTTGATGCACCTGTACTGACTTCGCCTGGCTGACCAGGCAGTGGCTCGGGTGGTTGATGATCTTTTTGGCCTTCCTGTGATATCGGGTGCTTTAGGTGTCCTGGAGGGCGGGTAGTTTGCCCCCGGTAAGGGGGCAGACCGCACCACCCTCTGGAGAGCCTTGCGGTTGCGGGCAGTGCAGTTGCCGTACCAGGGGGTGATACAGCCCGACAGGATGCTCTCAATTGTGCATCTGTAAAAATGTGTGAGGGTTTTAGGTGCCAAGCCAAATGTATTTAGCCTCCTGAGGTTGAAGAGGCGCTGTTGCACCTTCTTCACCACACTGTCTGTGTGGGTGGTCCATTTCAGATTGTCAGTGATGTGTACGCCAATTAACTTGAAGCTTTCCACCTTCTCCGCTGCGGTCCCGTCGATGTGGATTGGGGGGTGCACCCTCTGCTGTTTCCTGAAGTCCACAATCATCTCCTTTGTTTTGTTGACGTTGAGTGAGAGGTTATTTTCCTAGCACCACACTCCCAGAGCCCTCACCTCCTCCCTATAGGCTGTCTCGTCATTGTTGGTAATCAAGCCTACTACTGTTGTGTCGTCTTGATGATTGAGTTTGAGGCGTGCTTGGCCACGCAGTCATGGGTGAACAGGGAGCACAGGAGTGGGCTGAGCACGCACCCTTGTGGGGCCACATTGTTGAGGATCAGCGAAGTGGAGGTGTTGTTTCCTACCTTCAACACCTGGGGGCGGCCTGTCAGGAAGTCCAGGATCCAGTTGCACAGGGCGGGGTTCAGACCCAGGGCCTTGAGCTTAATGATGAGCTTGGAGGGGACTATGTTGTTGAATGCTGAACTATAGTCAATGAGCAGCATTCTTACATAGGTATTCCTCTTGTCCAGATGGGATAGGGCAGTGTGCAGAGTGATGGCAATTGCATCGTCTGTGGCTCTATTGGGGCGGTAAACAAATTGAAGTGGGTCTAGAGTGGCATCGAATTTCAGCATGACAATTCAATGGGGTTGAGGTCAGGGCTCTGTGCAGGCCAGTCAAGTTCTTCCACACCGATCTCGACAAACCATTTCTGTATGGACCTTGCTTTGTGCATGGGGGCATTGTCCAAACTGTTGCCACAAAGTTGGAAGCACAGAATCGTCTAGAATGTCAGGCCATGAAAGAACTGGGACATTTCCAGCTTCCAGGAATTGTGTACAGATCCTTGTTTTTTTACATTTTAGTCATTTAGCAGACGCTCTTATCCAGAGTGACTTACAGTTAGTGAGCGCATACATTTTTCATACCTTGTGACATGGGGCCGTGCATTATCATGCTGAAACATGAGGTGATGGCGGCAAATTAATGGTACGGCAATGGGCCTCAGGATCTCGTCAAGGGATCTCTGTGCATTGAAATTACCATCGATAAAATGCAATTGTGTTCATTGTCCGTAGTTTACTCCTGCCCATACCATAACCCCAACGCCACCACGGGGCACTGTTCACCACACCATACATGCGGTCTGCCCGATAAAGTTGAAACCGGGATTCATCGTAAAGAGCACACTTCTCCAGTGGCCATCGAAGGTGAGCAGTTGCCCACTGAAGTCGTTTACGACACCGAACTGCAGTCAGGTCAAGACCCTGGTGAGGACTTTTTGTCTTCCTCTAATGCCTTGTAAAAGGGAAAGTAGTCTAAAAGTAACTGAACATAAATCAGATTACGTTAGTTTGGGTAATCTAAATTACGTTAATGATTACACATTTGACAGGTAACTAGTAACTAACGGATTACATTTAAAGTAACCTACCCAACCCTGCGTGCCTTGCATTGAACCCCAGCCTTAATGCAATTACCAGTACAGCTTTAGCCTATAACCAATAGATCTGACCTGCTATTCCATTTTATGACAGGACCTTATGGTTAACCAGCAAAAAGGATGACAGACAAAACTCAGTGAATTAGTTTAATCAAATCATACTGATGCAGTAATGCAAAAAGCAGGTGTTACACAATGAGGATGGAATCATGACTCTTCCCTCTTGCAGAGGAATATTCTACATTAAAATAATAGGTTTGATTTGAGAATATAAACAGACTGCTCTTTCTAGAATTCTTTCACCCTTAGCATGAGTTCAGCTTATGTTTAATACTGACGTAGACGTAACCAACAGCCCCTCTACCCTGTTTCAGAGGCCCCCGAATCCCAAATCAACCATGGTTCATCTGTAGTAGATTGGATAAGTGTAGGTCTATTCGATATGGCAAATCTCCCTCCAAGCCTATTAGAGGGCAAGATGGAACTATTCCCATTCCAGATCTACATGGAGTCTAAGGTTATTCAACACCAATGTCAGCGAGCTTCCATTCCACTTTGAACAACATCTATCCACATCATGGTTTGGATATGTGCTACACCAATTGGGTTTCTCTCCCTGTGGTAGCTACTTTAAAGTGACAAATATTTGAGAGGCTTTCAAACTCAATGACTAAGGGGATGTGGCCCTGTTCTTGAGGTCAATCACCATCTTAAAATAAGCTATTTTCTCTTTCTCACATAAATTAGGTTACTTACACCATTGCAAATGTTAAGGACACAATTGGAAATAATCAGACTTTCAGAGTCTAGTGGAATTGTAACAAAGTTAAGCATACAGTACATGGAACAAAGAGTTACTCTTATCTATATTTGGTTTCAATTAATTTGGCCTTCGATTGGGTTTCCATAAGAGACCGTCAGCATAGCGAGACAAAACACGAGACAATGTTTGATCTAATGCCATTCTTTCTCCCGATTGTGTCAAACTAAATTTTAAATCGAAGCAAATCGACTCGGGCAATGCTCAGTGCTTCAGACTGTGAATTAGTTATTGAACTGAGGTGTTGGCAAGCGCAATACAAAATAGCACTCAAATCTAAATGAGCTAAAATAAGCTCAAAACTTAAGACAATATGTCCATATACACACAGTCATGGTCAAGTTTAGTAGTCTACAAGAAAGGACAGAACACTCAATATTTTACGAGTGAAGTGAAAACAAATTAGGTTTCTAGCATGGAATTTACAACTCACCTCAGACACAGTAGACATGTAAGAGAAGTGATGAGCTAGGCTTTTTCCTCCCTCACAAAGCAGCAATTCAGAAGCAAAAAACGGTGTGTTCAGGTGGCCTGATCTCCTAACTGGTACAAGAGTATCCTCCACCCTTTCCAATAAAACTTTTTCACAATAAGATATGGTTGTATATTGCTATACAACCTCTTTCAAGAGATGAAATAAAACTGATCATAAAATAAAACTATAAAAACAGGATCTCAAATATTCAACACATTCAGCAACCGGTGCAACACTCCTGATTAATCTATAATAATAATTACAATTTGTGACTGGAAAAATACTTTGACTTGCCATCGTCCCTATTACAGGTTTCTAAAATGACCACAACTGCAATAAATGGGCTTTTCAGGAAAAACAAATAGGAGAAATGACAATCTTATGTAATAAGGAATAATTGGAATGCAAGCAGTAATGGTAGAGGAATATACACCCATTTCAGTTGTTCCTGAGGGGTAAGCACAACATTAACACATACATGTCACACGTACTGTTCACAGAAATTCTCTACACATTCTATTCAAAATGTGTATTAATATGCAAAAGCTGTTAAAAGTCTTGCGGTGGTTAATTGGGGCTAGTGTCAATTTACTTCAGAGTTTTTTTGTTAAAGTACGAGAGAGGGAGGGGAAGGAGTTACTCCTGCTTGACATCTCCCTTTAGCCTCCTCTTCACACGAGAGTAGGGGCTGAGCTGGTCGTCCATAATGAAGTCATACAGGACCTTCACCCACGATGTGTAGTGGGGCAGGTCATCGTAGTACTCCGATGCGATTTTCTTCACCTAGGTGAAGGGAGAAATCAAATAAACACTGTTTGCTACAAGTGTCTTCAGCATAAAGCTGCAATATGTAACTTTTTGGGGCAACTCGATCAAATCCGCATATAAATTGAGTTATAAATCTGTCACTCAATGAAAGCAAGTCTAAGAAGCGGTAGATCTGTTATATGTGCGCTATTTCTATGCTTCCCGTTCTGAAGTTTAGTTTTTGCATCTTTTACTTTCAGTTTTGTACACCAGCTTCAAACAGCTAAAAATACAATATTTTAGGTTATGGAAAATATATTTCACAGTGGTTTACATGGTACAGTGATGCTCTACACAATGACTGCTTGTTTTGTCACAACCTAAAATTAGGCAAACTATTAGAATTTTTGCAACAAGGAAATGGTGGATTGATTTATACATATTGCATCTTCAAGTGTTTCTCTTAAGTTCCAGGGGCACTCAAACAAAGCAAAATTGCAGCGATCCTGAATCAGATAAGAATACTCAATGCAACACTTTTCCCTACAAACATTCTTTCACAATGGTAATCCTTTAAATCATTTACATCTCCAAACACAGAATGTGCAACGAAATAGAGCTAGAGGTTAAAGTCTCCCTGGGTCTGGTGAAGTCAAATGCTTTTCTGCTGAGCCTAGACATTGGAACAGTCTGCCTAAACATATTTGGAGGAATATGGTTGTTTTACAGGATGTTCTTATATTTTTATTACCCTTGTTTTTTATATGACTTATCCTGTTTCATCACGACAAGCACTTCTGGCTGCAAATGTAAGTTGTATGCAAATAAAAGTTCATTACTAGCACTTCATTACAGTAAAAGAGCTATGGAACCGTCACTCAGACAATTAAAACAGCTGCCCCTGCCCCCAAATTCCAATTGCCTATTTTTTATTTGATGACAACAGTTAGAATGCTAAAACTGGTCTGATGATAACATGTACATGATAACAATTTTTTCAACACCCATACTGTACCAGAGGTAGCCTACGTCCTGGGATGCTGGGGAAGTCGTGGTGCTCGTTGTGGTAGCCCACGTTGAAGGTGAGCAGGTTGAGGGAGCCGTAGTAGGAGTAGGTCTCATGGCCCTTGAGGAACATGTAGTGCTCAGCGATGAAGTGTCCAGAGATGGGGTGCAGGCCCATTCCCAGCAAGGAGCCTGCCATCATGTAGACCACAGGCTTGGCTCCACACAGCCAGTAGAGGGCCACATTGAAGGACAGCTGCACAGCCACGTTGGCCACCTCCAGCCTGGTGATGGGCTTGGGGTTGATGCAGAGAGGGCGGATGGCGTAGAACAGAGGCTGAAGGATGATCCAGACAAACTTACGGAAGCGTGTGCAGAAGAACCAGCCCTCAAATTCAGTGGGGATGTCCACGTCCACGCCATCTCCTCCCAGGTAGCGGTGGTGGTCCAGGTGGTAGCGCTTAAAGGAGGCAGAATACGGCAGCCCGATGGGCAGGTTGGCAAACATGGCGAACCAGCGGTTCCACATGGCCCTGCTGTTGCCAAACGCTGTGTTGTGGGAGATCTCGTGGATGGCCAGGGTCATGGAGTGGTTGATACAGCTGCCAAAGGCATACGTCCAGAACAGCACCCATTTCCAGTCTAGGTCTTTGACCAGGTAGAATGCTAAAAACTGGATGAGTACCATCATGCAAACAATCCACTTCAGCCTGGGATCAGGCCCCATTAGGGTCTTTATTTCTGGGTACTTTGCTGTTAGAGAAGAGAAAGAATACGATTTTGGTTCATTTTCAAATTTAGCCTACTTATTTGACAAAGTACTAATAAAAAAATAACATTGATACAACTCCTTTCGTCATGTCATTCCAATTCAGAACTTTAATTGTTACAATCATAATATAAAGACTATCGGACATTTCCTACAATTTGTAACCTTTGTAACCATTTGCAAGCCCTCAAGTTTCGCATCGTTGCTACTTCTGTCAAATGGCCCCTTAAAAAGATCAGTCAGGACAGGCCCAGAGGTCCCAAACTGTCAACCACAAACACCATTGATAGAAAGGTGCCTGCAGGAACAGTCTGGCAATTGCCATTCAAAACAGCACTAATTATACTGGTATCTTATTTGACTGGCAGCCACAGCAGGATGTGAGACCACAATGATTAATGTACTTTCAAAGAATATGGGCAATGCAAATAAGCTTACCAAATCCACCCTCCATTTGCAAATAAAGCAGTCTGCGAGTCACAACTTACATTTTGTGACGATGTGTGTCACCTTGAGAACTTATCTTAAATCACTCCTGACTAAAAAGTAACCTAATGTGCACAAAGGGTGGATTCAGATTAGGCCTAGGTCCACTAGGGCCCAGCCAATGAGTGACAAAATCAAAGCACAGAGGGTTTGGCCTACAGCATTATTAAAGTTATCACACAGTATCAAAATTATAAAATGTCTCTCTGCTAGTATCAAAGTCTTGTAAGTCACTGTAGGCCTAGCGTAATCATTGCCAACTACATTAAGCGAGCTAACTGGCCTTCAAATGACATAGGACCGAAAAACATGTCATACTAATGAGAACAAACCATACAGAAGGTCAAGACTGGGACCTGGGTGGTTACAGAGGGTGGAGGGTTTTAGATGCAGGCCTATCAGCTTATACCACATAACAACTGGAATTTCACCCATGTGGGTTAAGTTAAGCAACACCAAAAAGAAACTGACATCCTTATTATCACCTTGATGTCTCAGCTGATGGAGAATGGGTGAAATGTACAATTTACCATCCACCCGCTCCTCCAAACCAGTTAGAAATGTTTTGGGGACACACAAACGTGGGTTTTGTGTACAAAGGAATAGGAAAACCTTTATCAGGTAGGTAGAACAGTCATTGTAACAATGCACATAGTGATATAGCCTGAAACACCCACAATTGCTGGGTCCTATACAACATTACCAGCTTGTAGTAAGTCGCTCTGGATAAGAGCGTCTGCTAAATGACGTAAATGTAAAATTGTAAAATGTAGTAGCCTATTTTAAATGTTTGTTTAAGTGTTGGTAGCAGCTGCAGTGGACAGAAGTTTTGATTATTTTGTGTGTGTGTGTGTGTGTGTGTGTGTAAGCCTATATTAAATCACAGGGATTTATTAAAACTAGGCTATGAGCTAGAAAGTGAAAGCCAGGCCATGCTGACCTTGAGTTTACTGTGTTACTTATAATGGATGTGTGGATAGACAGACTGTTTAGCCTACTACTCACTGACTGCTTCTTGACTAATGACCTTTCACCTTTCTAACCATTGGGGTGGATGGTGTTTATCAAGGCAATGTTATAACCAAATCATACTCAACAATTGAAGTTACATTGTTTGCTTTCTGTCCTATCACAGCGTAACACACTTTGGTTAGTTTCATCAGTGCTACTGAAATATAAGGACGAAAGAAATCAGGTGGAAGGAGGTGGGCTGGCTAGCTGAAGGAGGTGGGCTGGCTAGCAAAAGGAGGTGGGCTGGCTAGCTGACAATAGTCCAGCACTCCTATCTAATTGCACTACTTATCACTTTGTGGAGTGATCAAATCAATAGTTAGATTTTGGAGTGATGTCTGGAGTAATTATTATAAAGTCGGCTTAACCTGTTCACCTGACCATATCTGGGATTTTACAATTTCTCTGCGGAGAGAGATGTGAGAAATCTGATAAGTCTCCAAGACAAAACAGAGCCACCTTTGCAAAATATTTACCTTAAGGCTATTTCTGCCAGTGCCGGGAAACAGAGTTTCATTTTCACTTCTAGGAAATCAAACTGTGCTTTTATTCATATTTCAAGAGAGCTTAGGTTTGTATTGTTGGATTGCCTACTGAGAAGGAGAGGCCATGATGATTGCAGTTAGTATAGGGGACAACAACACTGATAAACCCTAAAAGCCACCACCAGACTGCAATACTAGCCAGCAGTCTCTACAGTAGTAACTAGCAGTGTCCCTCTGTGCCTCCTGTTGCTGCTGTACTCCCATAGCTTACACATTATTCAGACAGGATGAGATTCCTTTGTCACTAGCCAGACAGGATGAGAGTCCTTTGTCACTAGCCAGGTTTCCTTCCAACCTTTTTATGAGAGTCAATACGTCGGACAGAAAAATGTCACGACAGGCCTGATGGAAACAGCAAATTTGTCGGTAAACTTTCCAAATGTCGACATCACAAAATCTTTTTGTGTCTGTAAAATTAATTATGCGAGAAATGGTGGTGGAAATACTTATGCGCAAATATATATATATATATATATAATAACCATTATATTGATGTAAACGTGGGAGTCACGCGATATGTTGTGTGGTCCTTCCACTAAGCCAGTTTATTAGGCTGCAGCTGAAATAAGTTCACAGGGTGGGGAAATTGCATGGTGTTCCATCCTAGACTTACAACTTGTGCTAAATTAGGATATTATACTGAATTGAATCAAACGGACTCAGAGGTCAATTTTAATGGCTTTACTCCATGACTGTCGGTATAACAAGAACCCAGCATTCTGTCATGGTGACGTCATATCAGTACGTCACATCAATATACATCCCCCTTTACTTGGATATCAACTTCAATGTCAACCTGACACACACATTTGTTTCGTTACCTGTATAGCAACATTTGTGTTAACAATAAACTGAAATATGTTCACAATTTATTATTACACTGAACAAAAATAGAAACGCAACATGTAAAGTGTTGGTCCCATCTTTCATGAGCTAAAATAAAAGATCCCAGAAATGTGTCTTACACACAAAAAGCTTATTTCTCTCAAATTGTGCACAGATTTGTTATCCCTGTTAGTGAGCATTTCTCCTTTGCCAAGATAATCCATCCACCCGACAGGTGTGCCATATCAGGAAGCTGATCATTGTGCAGGTGCACCTTGTGCTGGGGACAATAAAGGCCACTCTAAAATGTGCAGTTTTGTCACACAACACAATGCCACAGATGTCTCCAGTTTGAGGAGAGCGTGCAATTGGCATGCTGACTGCTGGAATGTCCACCAGAGCTGTTGCCAGAGAATTTAATGTTAATTTCTCTACCATAAGCCTCCAACTTCGGTTTAGAGAATTTGGCAGTACGTCCAACCGGCCTCTCAACCGCAGACCACGTCTATGGTTTGCTGATGTCAATGTTGTGAACAGAGTGCCCCATGGTGGCGGTGGGGTTATTGTATGGGCAGGCATAAGCTACAGACAACGAACACAATTGCATTTTATCGATGGCAATTTGAATGAAAAGAAATACCATAAAATGATCCTGAGGCCCATTGTGAGGCCCATTTTTTTAAAGGTATCTGTGACCGACAGATGCAAATCTGTATTCCCAGTCATGTGAAATCCATGGATTAGGGCCTATTGAATTTATTTCAATTGACTGATTTCCTCATATGAACTGCAACTCAGTCAAATCTTTGAAATTGTTCCATTAACATTCCAGGTGAAGCTGGTTGAGAGAATGCCAAGAGTGTGCAAAGCTGTCATCAAGGTAAAGGGTGGCTACTTTGAAGAATCTCAAATAAAAAAAATATTTTGATATGTTTTACACTTTTTGGGTTACTACATGATTCCATTTGTGTTATTTCATAGTTTTGATGTCTTCACTATTATTCTACAATGTAGAAAATAGTAAAAATAAAGAAAAACCCTGGAATGAGTAGGTGTCCAAACTTTTGACTGGTACTGTATGTACTGGAGTCCTACCTTAAAAATTGACCAATAGAAGTATAAAGAGGGGTTCCTGCATAATCGTTTTACATAATAATTGGCCTGTCTAGCTAGCTAGATGACGAATATTGTAGGTAGCAACAGCAATGGTTGAAATTAGATCAGTTACTAGCCAACACCCCTCTCCCTGCCTGGCTCACAACACAAGGTAACTAGCCAGCCACCATACATAAAATGTATGCACGCATGACTAAGTGGCTTTGGATAAAGGTGTCTGTTAAATGGCATATATTATTATATTTATATATTATTTAGTTAGTTATCTATTATCATTAGCTAGCTAATTATCTATTCATCTGTGGCTGCAGTGAGCAACTGCTAGCTACATAGCATCCCTGAAGGGGGATTCCAGTTAGTTAACTAGCCAACTTTAACTAACTAGCAGCCAGCTCTGATGAAAGACAAGAATAACATTTATAGCTAACAAGCTAAATAATGAATGACCAGTTTGCTTAACTAGCAAGCTAACAACCTTTGGTTGGTGGCAAGTTTGATAGTAGGTGAAGTTGTTAGAAAAATACGAACTGACAAGCTAATGTTAGCTTCTATTGCGGTCTGGGAGGAGAAAGGAAAATCCTCACCCAAAATGTCTTTCCTCCTGTCTGCATGTGGCTGATCTGTATAAACCCATTCGTAATCCTCACGAGCGACACGGTTCCCCATCTTTCTTTGGTGTAAGTGACAGGTAATGAGTCTCAAAACATTTATGTTACTAGCTAAATGTAACAAATTGACTCCAACTTCTCGGTTACCTAACTGTTTCAAGCCACCCTGTCCGGTGTCAAAGCCTGATCTGACTGAAATAGAGTTCTCCGACCAGCGTCACAAACAAACGTTTTGGATGCTGATTCGCTGATTCGCTGATTCTCTCACAGACTGTGCTCAGGGCGTTCGTAAATTCACAGCGTTTTGGCTCTGGGAGTTTTCAGAGTGCACTGGACGCTCTGGCGGAGGAGTAGTCCCCTGTAGCTCAGTTGGTAGAGCATGGCAGGGTTGTGGGTTCGTTTCCCACGGGGGGCCAGTATGAAAATGTATGCACTCACTAACTGTAGGTCGCTCTGGATAAGAGCGTCTGCTAAATGACTAAAATGTCACACAAAAAAAACCATGAGTAGGGTTGATCCGAGCGTTCTGACCTCACAACAACGTCAGTCAAGCACCCAAGCTAACTGGCTAAAGTTGGCTAGCTACTTCCAGACACAAAGAACACCTCACTCTGACCATTTTACTCGCCCTAGTAGAGGTGGTTAGGCTGTTTTCATGTTGTCTAGGGCGTTGGTGACTGTAATTCTGCTGCTGGCAACAATTGAATAAATTTTTTTTTGCCGAAGTTTACTGACACCAGTCATATTCAACCAGTGTTGCGTGTTCATTAATTCATCATTCTGCGCTCTGGCACACAGACGAGAGTGCTCTGAAATCTGAGTAGAGAGCCAGAGTGAATTTACGAACCTACCCAAGACTGTTGCCAACTCCTCAGTAAGGAAAGTAGCTATTGGCTGTCCTAAAAGCCGCTAGATTTGCATAATTGGCCATGTGCATGTAATTGTGAGGGACTCTGTAAGAGAGAGGAATAATGTGTGGGAGAGACAAAAAGTGAGTAAAAAACACCCTATATTTACATCCCACCCTGAATGTAAGCCAGGGCGGGATCAGCCAGCGGCGGCTTCCCGCATGCACGATTCATTTGCAGTCTGGACGCTGTCAATGTCGCGTCAATTCAAATCTGGTATCAGGAACAAAAGAGGTCAACACTACTTCTAAGGTATACTAGTTATTTTAATTAATGCAAAAACCTTCAATGGTAAATATGATGTTTCGTATATACGGGCTCTCTGATATGCCTCGCAGGACATTCCAGAGAACTAACACATTGCTTTCAGAAACAATACCCAAATACCCTGACAGAAAGTTTCCCACTTCTCTGCTGGCCAATTAGAGTAAAGACTTGAGCGTGGTTTACACTATCTCAGCCAATCCGTTGATGCAGTGGTTGCTCTCATCTCCTCGGCGCCATTTGTTACACACTCCAGGCAGACACAAGATTATCATAACAACCTGTCATAGTGAGAAGAGCCAGCTCCCTTAGACATCATTCCCATGTCAAAGGAAGACTCATAGATCACAATGAACCATTATAGTCTTGTATTTGAAGACACAATCCTTATCTTCTCTTCACATCAATCACAGCCTTGCCAGGTGTCACAGCCTACATTAGCCCAGTCAAGAATGCATTCTTTCTAAGTTAGTCATCCTATCAGTTTAGAAGAATAATAAATCCCTAATAACGCGGAGGGGTGAACATCTCCTGCGCTGACTGCAGCTGGGAGGGACTGCTGCGTGAGGACTGGGCTGTCTGTGAGTGCTTTGGGACGATGGTGGGGCCCGGGGCAGCACCCGCTGCTCGTTGAGAAGAGTAAGAACGATACGTGCTTTCACGTCAGAGTCTCCAAAAGTCTCCAATAACACCAGAAAAAAATTGCTAGATTTGTCACTAGTCGCTTTTTTGAAAATGTGTCGCTAGAGGGGTCTGAATACTCGCTAAATATAGCGACAAAGTCGCTAAATTGGCAACACTGCCCAAGATAGCCGAGTGACTGCCCCACCACAGATCGAACAAGGAGCCAGATGTTTCACCGGATGTATAAATCTGAAGCATCCGGTTGGAATTTCCCAATCTCAACAGTTCTGTTCCCAAAACTACAATCTGTTACGAACAGAGTGCACTAAGATTTGTAGCCATTGCCAAAGTTTTACAAAATTGCCTTGTTTACAAGGAGTGTGCCAGATTTTCAATTTGCTCCCATTGAAAACGACACAGATGAACTATCTTGGGTTAGTTATAAATATATTTGGTCAGACCGCTCTAACAATGGAAATACACTTCCTCAAATTGAATTGAAGGTAGGCGAGATCAGGTGGGACCATTCTAGTCAATTAGAGGGCAGAAAGTGGGAGGAAAATGGCGGAAGTGGATGTGAGTTAGAATTCCAGGAAAGTAGATATCATTGGGGATGCAGCGGAACGGTTCCTGGGACTGAAAGACTTCTCTGTGGAGGAGTTGCATGGAGTATTGTCACAAGCCCTACCACCCTCTCAGGTCATAGAGCCTGAGAAGGGAGACATGGAGATTTTAAGGAAGAAGTGGGAGTTTTGGTTTTGTCAATGTGATTTTTATTGTTTAATTTTGGGTGGATTAAGTTAGGTTTTCCTATCACGTATGGATTTTATTTTTTCAACCTGGTCCAGTTGATGGCAGTAATACACCTTTTTGGGTTGTAGTCTCCCATAAAAGCCACAGAAGAGTTTGAATCAATCAAAGGTCAGATTAGGAAGGAAGAGGTGGTGTTTGCTCGATTGCGCTTAGGACATTGAACTCGTCATTACGTCTGGTTGGCAAGCATGTGAATGGTTTGTGTCTGGAGCGTATGGTCGATGAAACGGTGGAACATGTGTTGTTAAATTGTTGTAAGTATGTTGAAGAGAGGGAAAGATTGAAGTGTAGGGTCATTTAGGTAGGAGGGGGTTGGGCGGGTTTGGAAGGGATTTAGATTTAGAAATGTTGTAAACTGTGATTGACCACACACTCCAGCACAGTAGATGGCGGCATGCACCTTTAACGTTGGTTTGCGGACCGCCATTATATCATAGAAGAAGAAGAGTTTGAATCAAGCGGCGTGTCGCGTAAAGTTGGTGAAGCTGAAGGTCCTGAATGGACATCAGTAGTGTCAAAAACTGGAACAAAAAGGAAAGTGGAGAATACATCTATGAATGATAATGATTTGCTTCTTTTTGGGATGCATATGTGAGAAACCTGTTTGAGGTGCTGAAAATGGTGAAGTATGAGCTAGGAAAAGTATAGTCTGTCAGAGTGACCAGGAGTGGTGTTATTTTGATTCATTGTATTTCTGAAGAACAGAGGAAGATTGCAGTGGGCCTCAAAAGAATCCGAACAACAGATGTTTCGTGCTTTGAACTTTCGAGTAGAGCACCCTTCAAAGGGGTCATCTCAGATGTTCAGTTTGAATACCTGAAGATAATTCCTGGTGTGGTTGGTGCCAGGCGTCTGACCCGCTGGGTAAATGGAGAAAAATAAGAAAGTCTGTCGGTCCTGTTGTTTTTTGATAAAGAGCATCTAGCTATGCATGTGAAGCTTGGTTATGTAAGATAAGCTGTAAGTGCTTTCTTTCCCAAACCACTGCAGTGTAAGAACTGTTAAGGATTTGGCCATGTTTCAAGTATGTGCAGATGGACAGAGTATAATGAAGAACGGTGTGTAAAAGGACAACAGTGTTGCAATTGTGGTGGGGATCATGATCCCGAGTTCCTGGAGTGCCCTGTAAGGGTGAAGGAGATTGAGGTGGAACAAGTTAGTGACCAATCGAATCTCCTATACGGAGGCAATTAAAATAATTGAGAAAACAAGTGATGCTAGTGAAGATATGGTAGTGGATGCACCACAGCCTGTAGTAAATGTTTGCTGCCAGTCAAAAGATACCCTTTGTGTTAAAAAGGTGGATTTTGTGGCGTTCATTGCCACAGTTATAAACTGTACGGCTGAAGTCTCAAAGAAGACTGGACATTATTGTGGCTGCGGCACAAAGGTTTTTGGGACTTAAGGATTTTACATCTGAAGACTTGCAAGGGGTACTGGCACTGGACGACGTCCCGCCCTCCCAGGCTCCCCTTGAGCCTGTGTAGGGATAAGATCTGTTTATTTATTTTATTTATTTATTTTATTTTTTACAGTAAAGTTGTTTGATTTGGTTTATTTTATTTTTGGTAGTTGTTTTGGTAGTTTGTTCCGTTTTGGGGGGGGGGATCCTGTTTCCATCCTGCACAGTAGCTGGCGGGATGCACATTACATTTAGCAATCGCCAATATACCATAGAAGAATAAGAATAACTACTAAGTCATTTTTCTCAAAGGTCCCGGAATGACACATGCATCCACTTATATCAGTACATAACCAAAAATATAGCGTATTCAGCTGTTTGAAGCTGGTGTACAAAATCGAAAGTAAAAGATGCAAAAACTAAACTTCAGAACGGGAAGCATAGAAATAGTACACATATAACAGATCTACCGCTTCTTAGACTTGCTTTCAACGGGAATGAAATATCTATTACTCACATTCTATGTGAATTTGGTCAGGTCGCCCATATTGTCGCTTTAAAAGCCTAAACATGACAAATAAGCCTCACATAATTCGAAACTCTCAGATGGGTGGGTTTTGTTGCTAAACGTTTAGCAACAAAAACGACGGGCTTAGATTACATGTTTTCAACAAACTATACTGAACAAAAATAGAAACGCAACCTGTAAAGTGTTGGTCCCATGTTTCATGAGCTGAAATAAAAGATCCCAGACATTTTCTTTCAAATTTCTTTCATGTTGCGTTTATACTTTTGTTCAGTATATGTTTTGTCTCAATGTTTATTGAAAACAAATACAGTAGCATAATGAGCACTTGTTACAGTTGTTGGTTAGCTAGCTAGCGAATTTGAACAATAATAGCATAGACATGACATGAGTCAAGACATGGTATCAATAACAAGATAAAATGAGCTGAAACGAGCCACCTACGATTCTCCCATGGCAGCTTCTTGTCATTGTTGCTAGCTATCTGACCTGTCAGAATCATAACACCACACGGCCTTCTG